TTTGTTTATAACAGGATCCATTTTTAAAAGAAAAAAGCTGGAAATGATAATGCGTTTTTTTGTTCATTGTCAACAGTGATGTGTTTATGTATGTTCCTTATTCATGAGGAACGCAAGAAAATAAAATTATGGGGAAAAATGAACATGCTGACTGTTTTTTCCAGGGATTTTAACAAAGTTTCCCCCTCCCCCACTTTAATTTACCTAATTTATTTACAGATTCATAACATACAAACTGTATGTATTTGAAAGCTCCCAGAATTTGAATTTCTTAAGAAACTAGCATTTGAAAATGGGACCCATGACACGGATAGGATTTGAGGTCTGAGGTTGCCACGTCATTCCTGGAGTTACGAGTTAAGCTGACAGAGAAGGGCCACCCCTCGTCCAATCCAGTGCTCTTCTGGCTTATCTGATGGAAGAATCATGGCAATCACAAAATTAGTGGAGTGGCCTGTGGTGGAGAGAGTGCCTCGTCGCTCACTGGTCTTGTACACTGGAGCCAAGTAACTAGGTCTCTCAGGAATGTCCGATTTTCTGCAAGGCTTCAGCCACATCTGTGAGAGAGAGCAAGAAAAAAGGCATTCTTTCAGCCAGTTCCGATACGCCAAGCCCCGCGTGGATTATGAACGATTTCATTTGTCTACACAGAAGCGCTCTTTCATGCAGCCCAAAAAGCAATAGCGCCTGATGATTGCAAAATACTAACCTAATGAGGGGAGTTCTTGGAGTACAACGTTAATATGTGTCTCTGAGTCAGACAGCATGGGTCTGATGCCCAACAACCTGGCTCTGGTTAACACCATCAGTCCCTTGCTGAGAAATGCAGGGCGCAGCTGCTCTGGTGACAAAAGCCTGCCCTGGAAAACCCACTTGATCTCTGGGTTGCAGTCGAGCAAGTTGGGAATCGCCCCAAAAAGAGCTTCCACTCACACAACAGGGCAGTGAGGGCCTCCTGGCACAAAGAGATAGCGTTCTGGCCAGCTAAATTCAGTGTAAGCAGCATAGCGATTGAGTAATGTATTAATGGGTAAGAAACTTAATTGTAGGAATCGGCCTCAGGCAACCTAATTTGATGCAAACACCAGGCAGTGGAAGTTGGGATTTTCTGGCACAAAAGTATGCAGGGGACTGCAGCTTCAAAAGCCCACCCATAAGTCTTTAAGAGCTTTCCTTCAAACACTGTGAGTCCAGGGGTATCTAAGCCTAGCAGCTGCATTCAACTCTGATCTGTGTAGTCGATACTAACCACTGGCATATTATCATAAAGGATTTTGGGGTAGGATTCTCCTAGTTTCTTCGTCTTCCTGTTCCAACGAGCTCCATCCAGGAACAATCCATGAATGAAGACTCCTACATTTAGAAAGAAGTTACAAGAAGGCATAGACATAATGCACATCAAATTGCGAAGTGTCAAAAAATGAGATATAAAAGCTTCATTTCCATTTCTAGGCAAGTGCCATTCAAGAGACATTGACCTCAGAACAAGATTCCTTGCCTTTCACACTAAGAATTTGCCGCAAGGGATCCTCACACATAGATCCAGGAAGGGAAGCAGAGACTGGCTGCCACATCCTAGTAGAGGTACCGGGGTCAGGTACATGAAGAGAGGCATGCAAACAGGCCGGCCACGGGGGCTTAGGAGCTACATATAATGAACAATCTTCCCATGTTCTACATGAAAGTTACATAGGTATACGAAATAATGTGCAGGATCTTTTCGCAGAGATGCACCTTGGCAGTAGGGACGATTCTTACATTAGTGGCTGCACTCCTTAGCCACTAACATAAGAATTCCTGGATCAATTCCAGGGTTTCATTCGGGTTTCCACAGAATGAGATGAGGTTGCACATATTCCACAAGCAAAAAGAGAGACTCTTTAAGAAGCAGCAGTCTGCCACCATCATTTCCACTGCACATGCGGAGCTCTGCAAGAGCACAAGGACCACTGTGTGTGGTGGGTAATAGGAAAGCTGGACCAATGACTAACTCCAAACATGTGTCACCGAAGTCTCAGCTGCATTGCTCATTGATATGAGTATCATCATCATGTGCCACCAAGTTAATTCTGACTTATAGTGCCTCTTTTGCATTTTTTCCGTGTAGAGAGTACAGTGGTGTCCCTCATGACAACGATAATCCGTCCCATTGAAATCGCTGTTTCAGAAAACACAGGGCAGCCATTTTGCGAAGCCGACGATCAACTGCGAACGTCGTCGTCTTACGAACAAACGGTTCGCGAAGCACGGACCTAATCAACGTCCAGCGAAAATACCCCATTGGAATGATTGTTTTGTGAATCGCTATAGCGATCACAAAATGTTGTCGTTATGCGGATTCGTCATTTAGCAGGGTTGTCATCTTGCGAGGTACCACTGTACTCAGAAGTGGTTTATCATTCCCTTCCTGGAGCGCTCTGGGACTGCTGTTTGCCCAAAGCCACACAGGCTGATTCTATTTGTAGGAGGTGTGGTTAGGAATCAAACTCCCAGCCTCTGCCTTCCCTGCCAGATACCTAAACCACTATGCTATCCAACCAAGCTAGATACAACTATAACTTATCAAAATAATGTTTTCAAGCATGCATTCTTCATTTCTAATTAAAGCCTGAACCAGTACAGTGGACCCTCGACTTACGAAGGTCCCTACTTACGGAAATTTTGAGGTATGAAAAGCTCCAGCTGCAAAATTTTAATTTGACTTGTGGCCGGAGCTTCGGCCTATGAAAGGCAGGGGGAAAGGGCGGGAAATTCAAAGCTGCCCCCGTTGCCCTCTTGTCTCCTGTCCTTGATGCCCTCTGCCTCTTGTGGACAGCAGGCAGAGGGCAGCGGGTGCAGCTTTCGAAGCCTCGAAAGCTGGCAGCAGGCGCAGAGCGGCTTTCGGCTTCCCGGGCTTCCAAAGCTGCACCTGCTGCCCTCTGTCTCCTGTCCCCGCGGGGACGGGAGGCAGAGGACACGGGGAGAGAAGGCAGAGGGCAGCGGGTGCAGCTTTGGAAGTCCGGGATTTTTTTTTCCTTTGGCTGGAACGGATTAAATGGTTTTCAATGCATTCTTGTGGGAAATGGACCCTCAACCTACAGACTTTTCGACCTGCGGCCACCGTTCCAATACGGATTAATTCCGTAAGTCGAGGGTCCACTTTATTCATTCATTCATTCATTCATTTATTCATTTGATTTCTATCCCACCCATCTGGTCTGGTCGACCACTCTGGGCAGGTATGGGTATAGTGGTAGGGAATGGGGATTCAGAGTCCAGTTCAGCCAGGAAGTTCATCAGGTGACCAACCCTGCATCCGTCAGTCATTCTCGGTCCAACCTCCTTCACAGGGTGGATGTGAAGGGGGGGGGATGATTCTCCTAGCTCAGTGGTTCCAGCCTTGGGTAACCCAGGTGTGCTTTGACTAAAATTCCCAGAAACCCCAGACAGCACAGCTGGTGGTGAAGGCTGCTGGGAATTGCAGTCCAAGAAGACTTGGGCTACCCAAGGTTGGGAACCATTGCCCTAGGTACATACTGCATTCCACTATTTTAGATCAAGGAGAAGTTGACATGTAATTACTAAAGCTAAACAGAACTTTGACTCTACATTTACCATCTTCGGGAGCGTGCTTGTATTCCTTGTCTTCCAGAACTTCATAGTCAAATCCTAGCAGATCTATTGGAATGGTGTACTTCCTGGCAAAGTTTTGCTGGGCACCAGTTAAGAAGGCTTGCGTGAAAAAAAAACCTGAAAGCCAGAATGTAGGTGGGGTGCCGTTCTCATACCATGTCTGCAACCAAGGTAGAAGGAGATTAGGAGGAACATAAGAATCCAGGCTGATACGACAGCATTGAGAACTTCTCAGTTCCAGAGCACTGTGAGGTTGCGTAGCACCCTTTGCTGGCTGCACCTTAGGATTATGGTATGGGGGCAAGGGTAGAAAGAGGGACCAACAGATGTGGGCAGCAGGAATTGTGGGCATACAAAAGTGCCCTCCCTTGCACAACAAGTGACCTTCTAGGTCAGGGGTAGGAAACTGTTGGCTAGCCAAGGGTTGTTATGTTTCAGTTCCCTGCAGCCAGAGTCTATAGTGGCCAGTGAGAGGGGGCTGTGGGGGACGCAAACCCGAAGCGCCTTTCCCAGCCTGTGTCCTCACAATGATCCTGCCTATCAACTCTGATGGTCGGCCACACATGGGGCTGATGGAGTTGTAGTCTGTCACATCTGAAAAGCACCAGGTCCGAACGCATGAAGTACCCTACTCATGTTTTGAAATCAAGACAGTTCTAGAATCCTAGAATCATGGAAGGGGCCTATAAGGCCATTGAGTCCAATTCCCTTGTTCAGTGTGGGAAATCAAAGGCTATCTGCCAGGTGGTTGAATTTATCTTGAATGCCTCCAGTGTCTGAGCGCTCACCACCTCTCAAGGTAACTGGTTCCATTGTCATGCTGCTCTAACAGTTAGGAGGTATTTCCTGATAGTCAACTGAAGTCTGGCTTCCTGTAACTTGAGCCCATTGTTGCATGCCCTGCATTCAGGGATGATCGGGAACAGACCTGCCCTTCCTCTGCATGACAGCTTTTCATGTATTTTAAAAGTGTTATCATATCTCCGCTCAGTCTTCTCAAGGTTCAACATGCCCGGTTCTTTTTAAACATGCCCAGCTCCTAGTCTCTATAAGAAACCACGGATCACTAGGGGATATGTTGAGTACCCAGATCAGGATACAGACTGCAGATCCCTTGCTTTTTTTTCTCATCTCACAACATTTTGCCCAAGTAGGAAGTCAATGGCCTGGAATTAAAGTCTGGGAGATTGCAAGTCAAACATCCAAAATAGGAACAATATTCTCCAATTTTCCAAGTTCATTAAGAAGCATCTTCCACTTTCGATGGGTATATTTCACATCAAGGTTGCATTTGTACAAATTCCTAGGAAGGCTAGTGGTGCTTGCCCTGACCTATTCAAGCCACTGCCCTGTAAAAACCTCCCTTCTTCTCCCTCAGCACTCTTCCCCTCCCCATAGCTGGCCGGCCACCCTCTATCCTGCAAACACCCATGTACAGCTAAAATGTAGGGATGCAAGAAAAAAGGGTGTGGGAGGTTTCACCATATGTTCTGATGTCAACCACCATAAGCAACAGGCTCTGAGGACTGAAAAGAACACAAGGGAGATTCTTACAAGAAGCCTGCAGATACGTGTATGTGTGCACACCTCTGTGTGTGTGTGTGTAGGTTTGGTTTTTGGTGCAGCTGTTTCCTGGGCTCAAGAAAGAGAAAGGACACATACACCCCACCCTATCCAAAGCTTGGTAGTTTTGCAGCGCTCAGCTCACCTGTAAGAACTTCAGCCTTGTAAGGAAATCATTCACGTAGCTGCCGAGAGGTTTGAGGCTGGGATAAGACTTACTCATCCACATGCCTGGGATTTTGCCCTTCAAAATGCTGTTCACCACCTCTTCCAGTTCTGCAGACATCACAACGAGCCCCTAGATGACAGTTGCCAGGAGAGGAAAAGACACATTAATATGAGTCCTGTTTCTCAGGTCTCACCAAGCCTTTTATCAAACAGTGCTGGCCACAAACCTTTCTATTTTGACAGGTTTTGTCCATTTCACCTGAAACAATTCACTCTCATGTAAAGCAAGTGTTCTTCCAAAATCTGTGTTACCAGCTTGTACTCCTCTCTAAATTAATCTTACACTGCACCCAGTATGTGACAGTCCCAGTTCCTGGGGCTATGATTGTATTTTAACATTGGACATGGATCTGCCCACTCACATTTGCCCTGCGCACGGCTACATCTTTTGGTGAGTCGGGTAGCTACACTGTCCTGAGTTTTCAGACATGTAATGCATGTACTGTTCCAACACATGGGAGGGGAAAGGTTGCGCACGCACACACAAACACACACACAAGCTCACTAATGCCCAGCTTGGTGAACAGTCCTGCTGGATTCAAAAGCCAACCTTCTGAAATTTTAGGGGCTAATTAATGGTATCATTCACCTTTGTTGTCAGATTGTACTCAACACCGTGCTTCATATTCCTGTTAGACTTTATATCACACAGACCCAAGACACCCTGCGGCTCTCCAGTGGTTCCCGGATTCACATTCCTTTCCTGTCAGCCCTACACAGTCCAGCCACTCGTCAACGGCAGCAGGAACTCATCAATATCTGGAGCTACACACAGTTCTCATCCATGTTGTAACATCTCATCTATACACAATATTCATTATTTCATACATCACATGTACTAACTCAGATATCCTAACTACTGTGAACATAATCCACCTTGGTAATATTGTTCCCATATGGGAACGGGGAGGTTTTGAGGAACCTGTATTCCCCTACCCCAAGCAAGCTTCTTTTAGAGCAGAGATGCACACTTTGTGGTCCTCCAGATGTCAGCTGCAAATCTGAGTGTTCCTCATTTCTGGCCACACTGGCTATGAAAAATGGCAGCTGCAGTCCAACACCATCCAGAGGGCCACAAAGGCATGGTTTCAACCAGAGACTTCACACTTTAGGTTTAGCTGCAATGTTGGTCTATGAGCTGCCTGCCTGCCTCTTAAGCGCCCTTGCAGCTGCGTGGTTGGCCACTGGCTCTCCGTCTGCTGTCCTGAAAACAGCGATGCTGCTGACACTTCCAAAGGCAGGCCGAGCGTTTCGCCCTCTGTTTCTTGTTTCCAGATCAGCAGCCATACATTATGCCGCATGCTGCCTTAGTTAAGAAGGGATGCTGCTTGCCAATAACAGGGAAGGGCAGAGCTCAAGAATGATGATGACACCGCCAACCGAACAAGCAACTGGGCAAGTTCCCAGGGGCCGCCATGATGCTAATGGGAGCTGACAGCTCTCCTCTCTCGTCTGCTCTGACTTAGCACATCTCCTGGAAAGGGGGCACCTCACCTTGATTGCTTTCTGAATGTTGATACAGGAGTCTCGAATGGTTTGCAGGAGTTTGTTAAATCGCCCCATCTCCTGGACGAGCACGGTGTTCATGCTCTGGGTGTAGGTCGTGGGGTACCTCCTCATGGCAGCTTCAATGTGGAAGTCCTTGGGAAGCTTGCTCTGGATGTCGCTCGCCACCTCGCGGACAACTTCATCTGACGATTTGGCACCAGCCCCTGAAGCACGGGACTGTGTTTTTTTGAAAGGAGAAGGACTGAACACCTCGGAGCCTTCAATGTTCATTTCAGATCAACATGGGGAACATTTACTAAGTAATTAACACCAGACAGAAATGACCCTCACTTTGATACTTTTTTCAGTAAGTATGCAAAAGTGCACTAATGGATTATTCCATGACAAGAGAGAGGCACAGCTGTTATCCTCCAGATGTTTCTATCCCATCAGCCCTGGCCAGTATAGCCAATGTTCAGGGATAACAGTAAATGTAGTGCAAAAATCCCTCCAGGGCCACTGTTGTCCACCTCTCTCTTAGGAAGCGAGGACCGAGACCCATCTCCCGTGAGTCTCTGTTTAGCCCTGCACATCTCTGGGTTTTATCTGTAAAAGTGAGCCTCCTGCCACCATCTGTGACTCTTCCCTCCTGCCACTATCCTACCAAAAGGATCTCCAAAAGGTTCACCAGATCCATTTCCATCTTCCGCCTCCTCCCCTTCTGCCAATGTGTGCGGGAGGACGTGGAAACAACACCTCTGGTCACTGCATGGGGTGTATGGCCCTTGCCTGCCTACCAAACCCACAGTTGGCCCGTCTCTTTTTCAACGCAGTAGCAAACTAACTGAGATCTGAATTTCGGGTTTTGCAGGAACCCTTCTGACACACCGGCATGCTTTCTCCCCAAGGGGCTAACAAGTGAGTAACTGGGCTCTGGAAATCGCCAGGAGGCAAAATGTGCAATGCTACTCCCCCAGACCCGTTCACCAGTCTCCTGCTAGCAAAAATAAATGGAAATCAAGATTACAGGATTACCTTTCTAATATAGTGGGGTCTTGACTTGAGAACTTAATCCGTATTGGAAGGCGGTTCTCAAGTCAAAAAGTTCTCAGGTCAAATCTGCATTTCCCATAGGAATGCATTGAAAACCATTTGATCCGTATCTGCTCTTTTCCGTCCATAGAAACTAATGAGAAGCTAGATTTCCTCCCAGCACATATGAGAAATACATGTTAAAATCCAGCTTTCCTAAAGTTTTAAAGATCTTTAAGCGGTGCTTGCTTCAAAAACTTTATAACCAGCTTTGCATCTTCTTAACAACTGTAACGTCCAAAAGGGAGAACAAAATGCTTTCCAGAAAGCTGGCTTGCTGCCTTCCAGAATCATGATGAAGGGGGCGAGAAAACTACAAGCTAGGCTTCTCCTTGAATTTTTCTTGATTCAGCTTTCTACGGGCTCTCTAGAAAGGGCTCTTATAAAACCTAATCATGGTTTTCCACATCATAAACTGCCAGGGAATTCATGAATATTGCAGCAACAGTAATGTGAAGAAAGGCAGAGCAAATTCTCTGTATTTAAACTTTTATCACAAAAACTTTGATCAATAATAAAGCCATTACTGGTAGGCAAGCAGCTCAGTAAGCAATAACTTTCACGCCCCTGACATCCCAAATGAAAATTGATGTACCTGTGTAAGAAGAATATTATCAAACAGCAACTGCGTTTCAGATTGATCCTTGGTGATATCAGCATTGGCGTTCATCCCAAAGATCTCCGGGGCAGGATTTAAAGGAAGTGTTTTTGTGTATTCAATGTAGCTTTGATACTGAAGGAGAAAAAGAGAGCAAGGGCATTCATTCATTCATTCAGCTATTTCATTTTTATACCGCCCATCTGGCAGAAGGCCACTCTAGCAGAGAAGGCTTGATTCTGGGCATTTTCCGGGAGCTAAGCCTCTGTCTAATTTGTTCAGCTGAACCTCCCAGGCCTTTCATTTCAGCCAACATAAAACACTGCAAAAGAAAGTTAAAAGATTCTCTTGCTGAAATCCTGTTGCTTAGTATAGTATACGATGCAACTGGATTTGCCCCACTGAATCAGTGAGAATTCGGTGAGTCAACAACTCTGTAAATTCTACTAATTGAATGGGTCTATTCTAGTTGTGACTCACTTTAGCTGGGCAACAGGATTTAAGGCCTCTGAAACCTTGTCTCTCTGGCTCTGCTGCTGAGGAAGCCAAAAACAAGATGTTAATAGATCAAGGACTTTGGAATTTTGCCCATATGAACTAGCAAAAATATCCATCTTTAAGAACAGAGCTGGTCCAAGACTGGTTGCTGACCCTGGCAAAGGATACGCTGGCATCTCTTTCCCCATCTGACGTACAAAAGCTGGCCAGATTCCGGTTTTCTTTCACAGTACTGCTGAAGGGGTAGCATTTTCCACCACCCCTGACCCAAGGACAGCTCGCTAACTAAGGAGACCATGGCAGAGCCTGTGGCTCGCACGGAGGAAAGAGGGAATAATGGAAGACTCGGGAGGCCTGCTGCCACCACCAGAGGTAGCTGCCTCACTCTGCCTAATGGTAGGGAGTGGCTCTGCTTGTCATTCCTCTTCCCTACATGCCAACTACCAGCCATATATTCCCACCGATAACACTAGCTACAAGCTCTAAGAAGGCACCTCCTCTTCTATCACACAAGGGGATCTCTTGGATGGTTGGAACCGGCAGCAACAGAATGGAATGCTACTGCCCTCCATGACTTCACTTCATCTGCTTGGGACGGGTTATGGCCAGAGGTTAACCCAAGAGCTGGAAAACAATCCCCTGGGAGCCAGGAGCCTGGCCTCTCCATGAGTGCAGCCACAGCCTCTCTTTTAGGCCAATGTTTCTTTCCTAAAAGCAACGGTCCTGGAATTCATCCAGGGACCAGAAGGTGCCCGTTCATGGGTCCAGTTACTTAGGGGTGGCCCCAGATACTTTGCTTCCTGAGGCAGAGAAGCAAATGGCACCCATCCCTCCCATTCCAAACACAGGAGCCAGGCTCCGTGGTAAACCTTATTTCGAAACGGACAGCAGGACAACATCTCCCACGACAGCAAAGGGCAGCAGCCTCGCGAAGGGGCCCAGGAGAGAATGGGTGGCTCTGCTGATCATGGGCATGAGGGATGGAATATGGGAGTCATCTGGCTTTCTTACAGCTGTCTTAGAGGCACGAGCCCAGCACCATTTTTAAGTCCTTATTCTGCCTCTTCCCCTTTGCCCCGTTGGCTGCGGTTTCCCCCGGAAAGCTAACCGCTTCCGGATGGCACCACAAATAGGTGAAAGATGCTCACCTCTCCTTCAGGAGGGGCGTAATAAAGGCCGCTTGCATCAAATTTGTACTCAGGGTCTGTAATGATGATGGGATTATAGAACTTGTTCAAAATGCTACGCAGAGTGCGCCGGTCCCAGTCGTCAGTGACTCGGCCTCCATAATTACATTCACCCGTCATGTAGCGGATTGCATCGAATGGCAGCTCCTGAAACATACAAAAACCGACACCCTTCTGATTCCTCTGTGCCCTCACAACATGACAGTGTTACTAACTGCAGTTTGCCTAGAAAGTTAACGTTCTGAGGAACTGGGGCTCTAGAAGTCTGGAAATAAGTCTTTTAGAAACCCCACGGACCCTTCGCTAGTTCTGCTCACAGACAGCATTAGGTGAACTCAAGTCACATCTCCACAGCTCACAGTCAGGTCAATGGGGAAGCCATTTTGGAGGTACTGGGAGGTGTGACAGGTTTATCTTGAAAGTGCAGGAACACAGAAATTCAGCACCATTTCTCTCTCGTCATCAAAATGATGTTTGTTACAGAGAAACCATGTTGCATATAAACAGGAGTAAATGTAGCCTAATTCCACAGGCCTTGGCAAGGAGTTAAATGCAAGAGTGCCACCGAGCCACCATTTTGTCCCTCATATCTTTGAAATTTTCTTCCTCCCAAATGCAAAAGAAAGATCATTCTTTACTCGTCACCTTTTTGCTCTGGAGAAGAATTGAGGCTGAACATTGAGGGTTCACAAGTTTGGCCCACTGTTCACTTATAGATTTATTTATTTATTTATTTTATTTATACCCCGCCTATCTGGCCCACCGGACCACTAGATATTAGCAGCCAGTCTGTGCAGACAATATTGAGCTAGATGGCGTGGCTTGGCACAAGCTGCCTTATTCTTCCTATTCTCCACATCGAATCTTCTGGCCACCCTCTGAGACAAGAAAGCTGTGGTGAGAGCCAGGGTGACATAATGGTTGGAGTGCTAAAGGAGGACGTGGAAGACCTGGGTTCAAATTCCCATTCAGCCATTACAGTCATTGGGTGACCTTAGGCCAGTCACAAGATTCGTAGCCTGGCCCACCCCACAGGACTGTCGGCAAGGCTGAAGTGGGGAAGGGAGAGCCATGTAGCCCACCTTCAGCAGGCCGGAAGAAAGGCAGGATATAGACGCAACTAGGGAGGGAAGGAGTCAATTTGATTAATATTGCAGATGAATGCTTTAGCAAACTGCTACACAAAAGTTATTACAGGAAGGATAAAGGGGGCAGCCCCCTTTCGAGATTACTAGGGTACCTCATATTGGTTCAGGAACATATTCAGCTGCTGCACGCTGATCCGCAGGTCAGTCTCATTGAATTCGTAGGGAATATTCCAACCCAGCGGCCCAAATTTCCGCCTCTCTTGTACTAATGCATGAAAGAAGCAGAGGCCGTACAGCAGCTTCTTGAATTCAGCCTTTAGGGGGGAAAAAACATAAAGAAAAGAAAATCTGAGGCCAGAAACAGGGCTGAGAGAGAAAGAGAGAGCGAGAGTTACAGCTTGAAATCTTCAAACACTGCAGAAGGGCGACCGAGGCAGCCTTTCAGGTTTGGGGAATCGGACTTCAAAGGAATCCCCCATTCCGGCCCTGAAGACCAGTCGCCACACAAAGCAAGCCCGCGTGTATAATCTCAGAGGCACCAAAGCCAATGCTGTGACACTGAGACATTCATGTTAGTTAAGAATTTCCCGCTTCCAGCCGGGGGCTCTCCCTAAGGTCCGATGAGGCCTCAGGCATACCTTCCTTCTTGCTATCCTCAGGTGCACTGCTCCAGTCCCTTCAGTGTCTTTTTTTTTCTTTGAAAGTTCATCCAGGAGCCTCCTCGCTCTCCTTCCCCTCCCAGAAGCTGGCTCCTAAGTAAGGAGCTCCTCACTACCTACACCATTAAACAGAGGAGTCGTGCTTGGCTTCTGCAGCAGAACCGCATGGGGCACCTTCCAAGCTTTTCAGAGACTCAAGCTGGGCGGGATGGTGGCAGCCCTCCTTGCAGGTACAATGGGGAGGGGGAAGAGGCAGAATAAGAGCTCCAAGGTTTAGAGTAAGGTAGGAGTGGGAAATCTGTGGCCCTCCTCACCAGTACGACGGACGGAATCATCTGCAGACTCCCCTCCCAAGGCCTGGAGCTGCTCACTGGGCCAAGCGGAAAACGAGTTGCGTGGCATCCTTTCCTGGACTGTAAAAGTCACCTCAGAGGAATCTCTTGAGGCGACTCCTATTTGGTGAATGAAACCCACAGAGAGTCTTGTGCACCCTTGGAGAAGGTCCGATTCATTGCTGGTACGTCCCATGCTTTGGGGGACTGCAACCTGCTCCTTGCGCAGCCTTCGCTGCAAACGAGGCACCCACAAATGAATTCGGAGAGCCTTCTCTCTGCTCCTTCCATGAAAGAAAAAGGCACTGCTCTCAGTTTTCCCCCCATTTTAAACAGTTTCAAGAATGTTTTTTTAATTGCTAGGCAAGCAGAAAAGGATCATCGCCTCAGTTTAAGCACAACCATCTTCCACTTCTTAATTACGACACCTATCATGGAAACAATCTTGGGTCAAGCCCATTCGCTCTCTGAAACCTAATTATGAAAACAGCAGGTGGCTCCCCAGCCTGAGCTGTTATTCTAAAGAAGGTGTTTATGAGGGCCATCCATCAACCCTGCCCGGCCATTTTAGCTCTCCCAGTTCCATGAAGCTCGCATTTTAATGCTTTTGATTAAAGCCTTGAGTCTCAGCAGTGCAGGGCTCAGCTATTCTTCTGTAACAGAAATTTCTCCCCTGCCTTGCAGATTTGTGTCAGGAAACCATTTCCTCCTGTTTTTTTTTTTAAGAGGAAGCTTTATTATTAATAGCACACCACCAAAACCTTGGCGGAGGAGGACTGGAGCGTGTGGTAAAATAAAAATAAAAATTTAATAAAATCCGCTATTACCGCCCCCCAGGAGCCAGTAATCAACACAGGCTTCCATGCAAAGAGGGAGGACTGTTTTGTTTGACAGATTTTTAAAACCGCCAAACACATCATCCACCCGCTGGGGTCTGCTTCAGTCGCTTGACAAGAAGTAGGAAATGAGGCAAAATGCAGCATACTAACAGGCTTCTTGCAGCTGTTAAAAAAGTCAGGGTCGGAGATGGGGTCCATCAGATACGAACGGATCACATTTGCCCGTAAGCCTTTGGGGGCCTCGTTGGTCATCTTCACACCATTCTGGAGCACCGAAACTGGGAAATTGGGGGATGGGTAGCTTGTGAGCCACAAGCGGAAATCGGGATGCGTTGTGTCTGGATTTAGTTCCTGGAGGGAAGGGGAAAAAATGAACATTCTACATAAGAACAAGAGACTGCCAGATGTTTCAACCATTCCAGAGCATGGGAAAGTTCCATTTTTAGACTCCAACTCAAAATATGCCCATACTCAAATGTTGCTGCAAATTGTAATTGTGAAGAAGGACCTTATTTCAAAACATCTGGAATGTTGAATCAGGATGACTGTTTTTCCAAGTTTGGTCTCTGGTTCCCAACAGAGGTGCCCTGTCATGCATGTGGAACTCCCCAACTTGAAACAGCTATCCTAGTCAACGCAACATACAGAATCAACTGGTATGTACGTATGTTAATTTTCACACGCTGCGACCAGTATTAGGAATGGGATTTTTGGATTTTTTTGGACTACAAATCCACTGCAGCCAGTATTAGGAATGGGATTCTTGGGGGTTTTTTGTACTACAAATCCCATAATTCTCCATTCTGAGAGTTCCACCTGACAAATCCATGCCTATAAACACTTTAAATGTTGTGTACCTGAAGCAAAGGCCTAGCTGGGAAGGCTTCAAGGCCAAGCATAGGTTTAGCTTCACTCTAGGTACCTGTGCAGAAAGGAAGTGCCCAGGTAGCAGTGGGCAGCTTCCTTCCTGCATCGGGAGCTAGAGCTAGGCCTTGAAGCCTTCCCAGCTTGGTCTTTTCTCCAACTGAGGCACATGTAGGTGTCTGTTGATGTGGATCTGTCAGATGGAACTTCCTGAATGGAGAATCATGGAACCTGTAGTCCACAAACCCAGAAATCTCATGCCTAGCCAGAATCCTACTTAGTTTCTGCTGAGCAGAATGTCCCACCAAAGTAGTAACATAGATTCATAGCACTGCATAGACATAACCTTTGTGCAAGGAGAAGATGAGTTTGCGTTATGGAGATTGCAACTTGCACAACAGCAGCACTTGCACAACTGGCAGGATCTTGTGTTACCATGTTGGCGGGACTTCCTGCTCAGCAAACCTCAATACGAACACTAGCTGTCGTCATTGCTGCTACTGAGATCAAACACACACTTGTGTATTCAAGAGGTGTGTGTCTGTTTCTGTCTCTCTGTGTGTATGCATCTCTGTGACTGCACATTTGAAGTGGATGATACTAATTCAGGCATTTCTCAGGCAATCCACTCTTTATAAAGCCCGTTCATAAAGTTAATATAGAAACAAATATATAAGGGCTTAAAGTGGTTTTGGGATAGGCAATTTGTCCATTTGTCCTTGACAATTTGTCCAGTCATGTCCAACTCTAGGGCGCGGTGCTCATCCCCGTTTCCAAGCCATAGAGCCAGCATTTTGTCCAAAGACAATCTTCCGTGGTCACGTGTCCAGCGTGACTAGACACGGAACAAAGTTACCTTCCCACCGATGTGGTACCTATTTATCTACTCGCATTCTGCATTTTGCATGCTTTCGAATCGCTAGATTGTTGGGAGCTGGGACAAGCAACGGGAGCTCACTCCGTCACGTGGATTTGATCTTATGACTGCAGGTCTTCTGAACCTGCAGCACAGAGGCTTCTGCGGTTTAGCCCACAACGCCACCATGTCCCTTGGTTTTGGGATAGGACAGTCCAATTTGGTAGTGGAAAGTATTCTGCAGTCTCACCTGAAGCACAGGTATATAGGGTAGGCTCCCATGAAGTCCACCCACCAACTGAACCTGCTTCTTCTGTCAGTGGAACTGCAAGGGGGCAAAACCTCTTCCCACATTCACCTTTCCATCAACCCCTCCCCCAGCCAAAAAAAAACCATGGCTCCATGGTCTTGGGAGACCCTCTGGAGATTTAGGGAGAGTGTGTGGGAGGCTGCAGGAGAGAAAAGAGGAAGAGGAGGCCCTGCTCCTCTGTACAGGCATGTTTGGATTGTGTCCCCATAACTTAAGTCCCAACAACTCAGAGTTCAACTCCCTGGTGAAGTTCACCTCAAGCCAATGTCACAATGTTACATTTTAAGAAGAAATTCATACAAACATAATTTGCAGGCATCTGGTGGCCTCTGAATCTCTAGAACACAGAAGGGCCTGCCTATACTGTACCTCTCACAGCAAGGCCCAGTCCTGCAATACTCTAACCCAACAGCTCCGTCAAAAAAATACTTGGACCTCCAGGTTGCCACATCTAGCCTGGCATAACCATGACAAATTATTCCTCATCTCCCCTCCCCACCCATGTATTACTCCATTTTTTCTGGCCTTTCTCCTTTAGTTCCTTTCGGAAGTATTTCCATGGCATTATACAACATACATGCAAAATACAAGAATGTAAGAAGACCTCTGATGACAGACTCAAGTTCTGTTTAATTCTTTGGTCTGATCTTGTGAGGTGTGTTTCTGCCCACGTTCTGCCCACACAATGGCCAACCAGCTTGCCCATGGGGAGCCCTTCAGAAGGCCCCCCCCAAGCCCAACAGGCCCCCTCCTGCCTGTTGGGTTCCCTGGCAGCTCAGAATATCTTGGCAGAGAAATGGGGGGCCTCCGAAGGTGGTAGGGCAGCATGCTGCTGACAGCCATTTACCTCACAGACTTTTTCCAGCATCGGCATCCAGGAGGTTGCTAGGTGACAGTTCTGCAGAACTACCCAACTGCCATCTTTCACGGCCTTCTCAATCATGCGCATGGCAATGGGGCCTTGACCTTGGCCCAGCGACAAGGAACTCAGCTTCATCGCACCAAAGCCCTGCGTGTGCAGAACATCCATGGAGGGAGAGAAAGCAAAAGGAGAGAGAGAATAAAATACAGCCGAAGGTCACAGTGACACAAGGAATAGCAACAGATTGTATTCCACAGCTAAGAGGAGAGAAGTGAATACCAATGTGATAAAGCAAGCAAGCAAGCAAGTGACCTATACCACTGCAGAGGCTCTCTCATATCCCTTTGTTTACTGAACTGTGCAGATTGTAAATTAGATGCTGCAAATTTTAGTCTGCATGGGTCTTCCTGATCCTATCCTGGGCTTCAGTGGGGCATATAAAGCACTCGTTGACAAGGAAGAGGCCCGTTCTGCTTCCTGGTGGATCTGAATGCTTAAAGTACAACCCTTTGCATGTTTGGTCAGATGCAAATCCTCCTGTTGTCAGTGAGGATTACTGGATAAAAGTATCTAGCACTGCAACCCTGGCATGGAATTCTACACCTGTATGCTTGAGAATACATTCCATAGAACTCAGTTGAACATGTGCAGGATCACACAATAATTTAAACATATGCAAGGGTGTTTCTTAAAGGAGCCCTCCATCAGTTATCATCATCATGCCAGCAGCTATTTAACAAAAACAACAATATTGTTATTATTCTTACTGACACCATCATCCATAGTTTGATGTTGAATAGATCCTCTGGGTCAGAGCTGACTCCGGGTTTGGGAGAGCACTTGGGCCTGGTGTCCCATCCAGTGGGTCCCCATCACTGAATGGTCCACCTCTTCCTCGTCACGGCCAGTGCTGTCCATCTGATAGCCCTCCAATTCTCAAGGGAACAGCAGAAGGTAGAGTAGGATCACCCGTGCCACTGCTGGCATGCTGAGAGAGGACAGCCGAAGATGGCAAGGAAGAGCAATAAAAGGGCTGGGAGGCCCTGAATTGGAGAGCCCTTGATGGTGAGCTCTTCGTGCTGGTCTCGGTTTCCACAATTACCCAACAATGCTTACAATCTGATGCTAGCTCTGTTTACTTACAAGAATAATCACTTGCAGGAAAGTACAGTGTAAAAGCTGCTGGCCTCTCAAATCTTGGCCTGACCTTGTATCACACCTTTCAGAACACACCAAGGAGATACAGCAATTCATTGGACTCAGTTTTAAGCCCGCAGCATCATGAATTGTTCTGAGATCACAAACAGGAATATCCTGCCCAAGACTGCAGCTATTCATTCCAGATGCTGAAGGTCCAGTGGGCACATGGTGTTTCCCCATTCATTACAACAGAGGAAGGAGACTCACAATGCTCCTTCCATTGTAGTAAATGGAGAAGGCTACAGATACTAGTGATGATGACACTTTTAATAAGAGAGTAATATATAGTGGTGCCTCGCAAGACAAATTTAATTCGTTCTGCGGTTAATGTTGTCTTGTGAAAAATTCATCTTGCGAAACACGTTTTCCCAAAGGAATGCATTGAAATCTAATCAATGCATTCCTATGGGCAAAAAAAGTCAGAACAAAGTCAAATTTGGTTTACAAAAGATTTATTATGTGCTCTTTAAAGCCATACATATTGTGCAGATGATTTAAAAATTTTCAATCAAAAAACTGTTTTAACATCATAGAAAAACATTTAAAAATCAGCAAACGTGAGGCAGGAACAAAAAAACGGAAAACATTTGTCTTGTGAAGCACGTCCATAGGAACATTTGTCTTGCGAGTCATCAACCCCATTGCCAACACCATTTGTCTTGCAAGTTTTTTTTGTCCTGCAAGGCATTTGTCTTGTGAGGCACCACTGTATATGGCTATTCATAAACAAACTTTAGTATTTCATGGATCTCATTTGCATAATAAGCATGAGAAGATCACGTTGAATCCATTTCTTTTAAATATTTCACTTATATACTTCCAACAATCCTGAAGTCATTTGCTCATGAGTCATTACATGGAACAAGCAAGTCAGAACTGGTGGTCCTAGCTTCTAAGCCTCAAGCCAATGAAGTATAATATTAATAGCATCATAATAGTCAACCACGCACCTGGTCATCAGCAAACTTGAGAAGAGCCGCCATCGGATCAGCACCAGGAGACAACACAAAAATCAGTGGCGCACAGCAGTGACTATCACCAAAGGCTTTCGATAAGTCAAAAGGAGGTGGTTCGATAAACATACGCCCCAAGTTGCCAATTATAAACTCCTGTACCATCGGAATAATCTAGAAACCAAGAATGAGGGCAGGTACAGTATAAGGTCATTTTCTCTGGGGGAGGGAGGAAATTCCACAATTTTACAGTATACATTTTACTGTGTGTGGTAAAGAAGCAAAATAATGTTTGTTTCTAATGGAATCACCAAAGCAGCTCTTTGATTACTCACCGTGAGACACAGACCAGTCTGATGTATAACAGACACAAAAACACCGCCTTATGCAAAAACACTTTTATTTTAAAAAATAAAAGAATGCATAAATACTGTATATTGAATAAAAGGAGAAAATGGCAAGCTAGAAGAAAAGGTTTCACCATTAAACACAGTTGTAAGGACATTTAATACCATAAAGAAACAATTTAATATTGTAGTTTTTATGCTGGCTAGCCTATTGCTTGCACCCTGCACATGTTGAACTGCGCCTCCAGATACTCGGTCATCAAGGTCTTCTTTGCTAGTGGAGGCAAGATTTACAATGCAACTGTTCCAGTTTTTTGCTCTTCCTCCACATGGTTCAACCTTTAAGCTTACATGGAAAGCCATTCTATATAAGATCTGACTATTTCCCCCATGTAGCACTATCAGTTCTGATTGGTAGTGCTTCTTCAGGGTCTCAAACTGCACGTTTTTCCATTATACTTCTAAACAAACATGCCAGGGATTGTACGAGGGGCATTCGGAGTGCACAAGAGCGGTGTTCTTGAACAGCTACAGCCATCTTCTTTAGAGCCACTGATGCCAGCTCTTCACCTATTCCTCGTCCTAAGAAGTACTAGGCTATGCAGAGTGGACTTGGAATTTTGCACAGACGGGAAGCCTAAATCCAATTGCCAGCCCCCACTAGGTTAGACCCACTGAATCAATGAAATTTATGCAAGTGTTGACATAGCAACTTCCCATCCATTCAATAGGTCTACTCCTGTGGGGAGATTAACAAAAAGATGTAGGTCAAAGGCTCTGGCTCTTTATCAACCACACAAGAGGCTGAAAACAACAAATGAAGCTTTTTAAAAAAAATTATTTGCAGCTTATTTTTTAAAAGAATAGGCTCCTTTGAAAGAAGATAGCTGCTACTTTCAAGGCCATGTTATTTCATCTTCATACTAAGAGAAGTTTTATCTGTTTATTTCGGTCCAATAAGCAGAAGTCAATAAGAAACTACATGAAACCGCCTGGAGAGGTCATCTGGATTTTGGGGGTCTAGTATCACCAGTATGCTCATGACACCCAACTCCTACAGTACCTCTCCTTCTCCATCTACATCTTAGGAAGCTGTTTCAGCTCTAGATCTGTGTCTGGTGTCAGTAATGGACGGTGACACATGCCTTAGCTACACCCCAGCTGAATTACTGTCCTGTGCTCTATGTGGGTTTGCCTCTGGAAAATGTTCGGAAACTTCATCAGGTCCAAAACACTGCAACCAGAGACTAAATTAAGTCCAGGCATAAAACAGACCAACATGCCCTATCAATATTAAAGATGTGTGTGTTTGCAGTATGAAGTATGTTAAGCACTGTCAAACTCTGTGAAGAATTTTTCTAAGAAGAATATTTACAGCCAGTATAAAGTTCCTTTTCCAACCCACAACTTCCCCAATCTCCAGGCCAAAATGGTTACCGAAACCCTAGGAGTTGCAGCCCTCAAAAACCTAATTTTTCTACACCCAGGTCGCAAGTGTGTTCAGGATCACAACGTGGCTTGGAGTGGCCAAGAGCAAACAAGGAGAGAGAGCTCTTTTGCCTTTTTAATCATCACCTTATGGAAGAGGAAATTCCAGAGGGTGTCGCCTGCCACAGAACCAATGTTGCAGAAATTCACTAGCCAACACCACCAGTAAAGAAAGATGAAAAGGAGCCCTGAGTTTTTTTGCCTCAGACCACCCATATAGGCCTAATATTTTAAAGATGCAATCCCATCAACTGTTGCTTAACAGTAAGCTTCTACTAAACAAATACAGTTTCTTTTTTTCTGAAGGAAGCACTGGTGACCATCCTCCAGCTGCTTACACTAGAGTTTTCCCCCACAAAATCATATTAAGGTCAACCGGCCATTTCAGTGACTATCCAAAAGCCATAGTCTTCAAACACCTCAGTAGCACAGTGCAATAACTGAACTATGCATTTATGCATAACATATATATCCAAATATCCATCTGCAGTCAAGAACAAAGCCTCTCTTTCTCTTTTTGCCACCATGCTTACAGTATACTCTTTTGCTAGTTGCAGAACTTTTAAGTTTACAGGTGAGCCCAATTGGGGAAAAGTAGGAAATGGTCCAAGTATAAAGAGATTCCATGCAAAAAGTTATGAGACTGGGAGGAAAGGGTGGTGGGAAGGAAGGTCCCTAAATTGGTTCTTTAAATGGAGAGAGTCCTGCGTGACATCAATGCAACTTCCAAAAACTTATTTGAATTTAGAGAGATGTACGAGTACGAAAATCGCTTAAAGACCTTCACACAGTGGCCTTTCAGGGAACACTGCAAATGTACTCCTGAAAATGTAAGTCTAAAAAGTTACTCTGCTGACTCCCTTTTTAAAACTACCTGATAGTTTATGCATGCTTATTTAAAGCAAGTATGGTTGAATTCAGAGGATTTAAATGAATTGACACAACCATGTGTGCCTGACATTGTAGCTGTGACAATGTTTTTGAAGTGTATATTTTTGAACAGGAAGCCTCAAAGTGCATGTTTTTGAAGATGAAGCCTTGATCTACGGAAGTCTAAAGGCAAAACCTGATTCTGAATATCTTTTCTTTTTAAAGCCTCTCTGCAGGTGAATGACCTACAAGCTGAGTTCCCTCCACCCCTTTTCTCCTGCTTCAAATTATGAAATTTTATTTCCTAGTTATTCATAATTTTGATTTCTAAAACCCAAGCCATGTTTGGGCTTGCTATCTATCAGGTCTTACAACGAGGCTTGAAATAGTTCATAAAATTATCTTTAAAAATAACTAAAATGCAAAACAAGTTGGAAAATATTGAATGAGTTTCAGTTAAATCACAGTGTTAAAAACTGCTAGTTCTTCTGATGTGGTTCCTGTATTTCTAAAAGCTACACAGCGGGAAGAAGTTATGGGGAAGTTCTTTACTTTTCTACCTCTAGGCCGGGAAAGCTGTTGTTTGCTATTAACTCTTCTGAAAAATAGGTGGTCCCTTTAATTCTTCACCTAGATGTGAGTGAATTCTATGTGTGTTTAGCTGCTAGCAGATAGATTTCTCACCTGAAATCTATCCAGGTAGTTACTGGACCTTCTAGAGCTGTGGTTCCCAACCTTGTGTAACCCAAGGTGTTTTTGGACTAAAACTCCCAGAAACTTTTGCCACCAACTGTGCTGGCCAGGATTTCTGGACATTTTAGTCCAAGAACATGTGGGGACCCAAGGTTGGGAACCACTCTTCTAAAGCAAAGGGGATACCCAGTGTGGTGTAGTGGAAAGAGTGATGGACTAGTACTCTGGAGACCAGAGTTTGAATCCCCGCTCAATCATGGAAACTTACTGGATGAGTGGAACTGGTAAAATCACTCCTTAAATATCTCGTTCACTTTGAAGACCTTGTTAAGGTTGCTATAAATTGGTTGGGACTTGAAAGCAGGTAACAATCACAAAAGCCAAGGGATGGGTGGGTACAGGGGAATAAAATGGAGCAGATGTCCTGTTGTGTGGGTGGAAGTCTGCTTGTAAAACACTGGAGGTTGCCCTTTGAACTCAAGGTAGCTATGCCTCTACACTGCTTTTTAAATTAGCTCCCCTGTCTTTGCTGTGGTCCACCTTTCCTGCAGCGTGGCCTCCTAAGACACACTATTGTAAGAGAAGCTCTACGGAAATTGAACGTGCAAGGTTAAAGCTGGATCTCGCCTTCAGACAAAGTGAAACAAATATCGCCAACAGCTAAGCAACAATTCCTTCCAAGTTTTAATGTCATCTTGGAAGTCAAGATAAACTTTGCAGGATGTAAGCTAAAGGCTCGAACAATTAAGAGGACCAGTTCCTGGGACACAGCTAAGCAGGAAGGACCGAGACCACAGTTTAAAAGCAGATATTAACCTTAATGTAAGACTGCTTTAAAATACAGCAAGATTGAGTATCTTTTTACTTTGTATACAATCTGAAGAAATGTGAACTTACTGTAGGCTTCTTGATTTAACTTTCAAAAGGTTAAAAATGTGGTAATTTGCCTGAGTCTATAGAATGGTATATTTAAGCAAATAAATCAAACAGTCCACACAATACTGCGCAGTATCTGAATAGCAGGGATTGCCCTATGGGAGTACAACACATGCGCCCTTCCTGCCTCTGTGTTTCAAGCTGTGGTTCTGGGTTTTTTGTTTGTTTGTTTGTTTTTTGTGCAGATGGCCAATGCTGGCTTCATCCACTGTCCAAATGTGAATGAACCTGATGTAGCAAAGTGTTTCTTTTGCTTGATTGAGCTGGAAGGCTGGGAATCAGAGCATGATCCCTGGTAAGCATAGTCTAATATTGGTCTCTGGTCACACATTCTCCAAGTGTAAAATTGACTCTTGACATAATAAGCTTGAATGGCTGAAATCCACTAGTAAGTTGAGTAGGTCCATTGAATCAGAGGACCTAACAGAGGTATTGGCTCATCAAATCTCAGAGATTCAGTGGGTCTGACCTAGTGGAACATATGACTGGATTTCAGTACTGTATATCTGTGTAAGACTAATTTTCTACTTATTTGGTTTAACCAATATCACTCCTACCTGACAAAAACCTAGCTGAGTTGAGAGGGGCTTATTGGGTTAAGAATTTCAAGTGATAACACACATTTTCACTTGCAGTGTTGCTTCCAGATAAAAAAACAAAGAGAGCCTAATGGGGTGGGCACAGAACTAGCAGCCTTCCAGAACCTTGATGGATTCTAAACCCCCCCCCCCATGACTGCTTCTTGGTGACCACAATGTCTCAGGCAGCAGCCTTCCAGAACCTTGCTGGATTCTAACCCCCCCATGACTGCTTCTTGGTGACCACAATGTCTCAGGCTAAAGGGGGTTTGATTCCAACAACATCTGGAGGGCCACAGGTTTCCCAACCCCATTCTTCAAGGAAGGTGCTTATACTGCTCACAAATACTGCCTCTAGCAAACTTCACATCTAAAATAACCCCAAGAGTAATAATAGCAGTATATGAGTGTGTGGTTTGAGAGCTTAAAACAAACAAACAAAACCCCTTGCACAAAAGATGTTTTGGGTAGAAATGGGTTGTGTATGGAATTCTAGGCATCAAGTAGAGCCAGCAAAGAACGAGACCTATTAGGGTACCTGAGTAGTGTTGGTGGGATAGTGAGATCCCATCATCATTGTCCTTCTGGTTCTTGCCTTTTAAATTAAAGCCAAATGATACAAGATCCCAGCTTCGCAACTGGAAAATGATAAAACATGATTCCTCTTGAGACTCATTCCTTCAAAGCTGCCACGTCTACACAATCAATTTGGAAATGAAGCCCTATGATTCTGTCCTGCTGATCATCCACCAGAGAGAAGCCAGCTAATTTGCAGTCTGCATCAATCATTGAATAAAGAAGCTTCTGTGACCAGGGATGGGGACTTGAGCTGCGGGACTCGCTGTCAAGTCGGATTTAAGTCACACCAGTGACTCAACTTGAACTAGCTCTGCTCTTTTTTTTTTTTTCAATGACTCAGGCTTGACTTGCAGTTCAGAACCCATCCAGCCCTCCCTTTTTCAGGGGGAAAGAGAGCTTGTTTTTAATGGGGACTTGGACTTTGGGCTTGGGACCAAAGATTCAGACTACAGTGGTTTAGTATCTTTAGAAAAGTAGGACTGTGACCTAGATAGGGATATGCCAGGCAGGTGAATCCATGGAAGATCAGCACACATGAATAAACTCTGCAGCAGCCATTAGCAAATTGACAGCCCTGTAGATGAGGTTGGACTGCAATTCACTGTCTCAGTGGGACTCATGGAGGTTGCACTCTAACAGCTTCTGGAGGGCCACCTTCTGTTATGTGCCTACTATATATTTGTTACAAGGTATTATGAAGAAATGTTCACTCTTTCATTCCTGGTGCTAGGTAAGAGAAAAGGCAACTGATTATGTGGAATGGCAATGCTTTAGAATGGCTCCTGGAACACAGATTGGTGGGAAAGGGAGAAAAGGGGCACGTTTTTGCTACAGTGGACCCTTGACTTACAGATGGCTTGACTTACAGACTTTTTGAGTTACAGACTTCTCTGGCTGCAAAATGTAGGTTTGACTTGCAGACTGAGATTTGACTTACAGACCAGAAAAAAACCAAAATGGAACAAAAACGGCCTGTTACGGGATTAATCGGTTTTCAATGCACTGTAGGTCAATGGAGACTTGACTTACAGACTTTTTGACTTGAGAACCGCCTTCCAATACGGATTACGTTCTCAAGTCAAGACCCCACTGTATTTGCATTGAGTTAAGAAGCTACGCACCCCAGTCTTATACAGGGTGAGGAAGATAATTTTTTTCCAGGTAAGTATCTGCTTCCACTTGACTTCCTACAAGGGTTTCATTAACAGGCTGTTCTGTTCCCACTGTAGGCTGGAACACTCTAAGCGTAGTAAGGACTCTTGTGGGTTTTTGTCCCTTTCTAAGAGTTTTGATGATTTGACAGTGGAGGACTACCACCAACTCGAGATGGAGCGAGTCAGGATTTTCCTTGTGAGTAACAGAAGTGATAATTGCAAGTTCTGGCTTTGAATTTAGTTTTGAGCTGAAAATAACAAGAACGGGGGTGGGGGTGGAATACATTACACAACAATTGCCCATCTTTTTGAAGATGAAGAATTAGGGGGAGCATCTTGTACAGAACAAAAACTCTACAAAACTTTGAGGTCTGGGGACTTTAGGTGGTGACAGCTGCTCTTTATTTTTTAAAATGTTGTTTTGGGACATTATTTACAGCCACTCCTATTTTATGTGTATTCTACTTTTTTCAACCTCCATACACACAGAAGGCTCTAAAATAATGCTTTGTCATGATGCTTTAGTTATCAAAATGAGCTCTGTGGGTGCAAATGGCAATTATCCATAACAGCTCTGTTGACAGGAGAAACTAATCAAAGCTGCTGCTGCTTCCCTTGCTCCCCAAAATCTCAAGGATAGGTGGGTGGGTGTAACAATCATTTTCTCCCACCTCCAGATTGAAAGCTGCCCTAAAATCTAATTTATGCCTTTATCTAGAAGAACTAGGTATTTGCTTTTAGTAAACCTTGACCTCTTTCTTTAAAGAAAAGAAAAATTACAAGACAAGAATCAAGAGAAAGAGAGCTGAAATAATGTATATACATATGTTTAAAACCCATCTCAGTGACTCAATAAAAGCCAACGTTTCTTAGGCCATTTTCAAATGTAAAACACTGCAATAATTGTGATAGTATTTGCTGTAATTCCCAGCTAAAGCAACTTTCTCACCCCAGTAATCTGCAGCAACATTGTAGGGACAGGGGCTTTAACCTCATGCCCAGCACAGTGACACTATTTAATATCAAGGGCAGAAGTATGAAAAATGCCGGTCCTCAGAGATTGTTGAACTACAGTTCCTGTGGTTCCTCACCCCTGGCAATGGTTATTGGGAGCTGCAGTGTCTGGAGGATTGCCTGTTGCCCATATATGATCAAAGGAACATGCAGAAGTTCTTTCTTAACTATGATAGAAACACGGGAACAGGCATTTTCTAGTCCCCCCTGTAGCCATTTGTGATAACCAATGAAGCTCTTTAAAATTATAGCACGACTTTTAAAGTTACAGTTTCAATTATTTTTCCTCCACTTTGATTCCCAAGTGCAAAACCGGTCGAAGTGTAATACACGCCTTTGAAAAAGAAGTCGCTCTCACAAGGAAACGGCTGGTGGATCATTTTGTGAATAAGTACCAATACACTCCAGAATGGGAAAAGCCACCCCAGACATTCCTGCCCTGCCCTGTTCCTGTTGCAAAAGAAAACTGTGTGCTGACCACCAAAGAGAAGAGAGTAAACCCCACTGAGGAACGGGAGGCTGCTCTACTGACAAGCACAGTTGACGAAAGTGTTGCCCTATGACTTGACTGCATGTACTCGCTAGAAGCTCTGAAGTGAACAATAATGTACGGGGGGTGCATTCCTAGGATATATCTCTACTCCTGGTGCTATATTCTGATTGTGCATGTGTATAAATCCTGTTCTGCATGAACCCAGTAATGGAGAAGGGGAGAAATTCTTTTTGACTTAATGGAAGAAGCCCATTGAACCAAAATAATATAGGTGTGCAAGGGTCGAAGGATGGAGCTTTTTTTTTTTAAATAAAGAGTTTTGGATAGAACAATGAGATTATTCTCTGAAACTGATACTTAGATTGTTCTCTTCCACACAGCTATCCGGGATAAAAGCTTGTTGCTTAGTGTACGAAGTGACGTTAGAGTAGGCCCCTTGAGCTCAATTGAATCAAATGAGTCTTCTCTAGTAATGACGATGTTAAAGTAAGTTGCAACTAGAGTAAGCCTGTTCGAATCAATAGAACCTAAGAAAGAGCTGACTCAGTGGGCCAGCTGTAATGTGACTTACTACACCAGACAACAGGACTTCAGCCTCAAATCCAATGCTAGTTCCATTAAATATTCCCCATATAACAAAGCAACACATTCATTAGGGTAAGTCTCTGTCTCAGTAGTTCCCAGGTCTCCATGTGTTTTTGGACTACAGCTCCCAGAATTCCTGGCCAGCAGAGCTGATGGTGAAGGCTTCTGGGAGTTTTAGTCTAAGAACACCTGGGAACCTAAGGTTGGGAACCACTGCACTATCTCCACTTTTCCATCAAAGATCTTCTATGTCACTATTGTTGCTCTTGAGACTGATTTGATGAAATGGACAGATTCCTTATGAGCAGCCCATGTCACTTTCTTATTTTTTATTTCTTTGTCCTGAAGGAGCAGCATAGCAAAGAGCTATAGTTTTGCCAATCAGAAGCCATATATGGGCATCTGCACCGCTTTTAAGGGTTTTTGTATTTTACTTGAAATTGTTAGGCCTCCCAATTTCGCTTCTGCAATCCGACTGTGTTTTCTTATTTGGTGGGAGTTTCCAAGATTGTATGTTTATTATACTCCTATCCTGACTTACCTCTGCAAAACAGTGTTCAAGGCAACTAATAAACATAATTAAAAACACAGCAAAGGCAAATTTAAAATGACAGATAATAAAACCACCAAAATAATAAAACCACCAAAATAATTAAGAAAAAAAAATAATAATCAAATTGATTGCAACAGCAAATAAGATGAGGAGAACAATTCCAATATAGTGGGAAAGTGAAATTGAAGTTATACAGAAATCAAAATGAGCAGACTGGGAAATACTGTACAGCTTGTCCAGATTTTGCATTTCAACTTCCATTCACCTTGGCCCAAGAGCCAGCAGTTAGAGATAACACGGCTTAAGAGCACAACAACATTTGGGGAGTCATTTGGACAAGGCAGTAAGAGCATGTTCTCTGGGTTATAAGATTCCTGGGTGAAAAAGATGGATTCTTCATGACACAGGTAATAAATCACTTAAGAACGAGGCTGACTAGTACGTTTATCACCTCAAGCTTGGCTAAAAGAGGTGATAAAGCTTGGCTAAAAGATACTGTACTAGGCCTTGCTCTAGTAGACTCCAGGATCTCCATAGTAAAAAGAGGGCATTCAAAGGCGCATGAGGATGGAAAGAGAGCACTCTTGCTCATCCTTGGCCATACCCGTGTTGCCCCGAAAATAAGACAGGGTCTTATACAGTATTAATTTTTGCTCCAAAAAACGCAGTAGGGCTTATTTTCAGGGGATGTGTTATTTTTTTCATGTACAACAATTTACATTTATTCAAAGACAGCCATGTCATCTTCTTCTGGTTGCTGCACAAGGGTGGAGGGCGGGGTTTCATTTCACTGGGGCTTATTTTGGGGGTAGGGCTTCTATTACAAACATCCTGAAAAATCATACTAGGGCTTATTTTCAAGTTAGGTCTTATTTTCGGGGAAACAGGGTATCTATCAGCCAGCTAAAATTACAGAAATAGTTTGTTCATACTTGGTAAGAATGAGGCTACCCGTGCAAGAGATCCTGCAGCAATTATAAGCCAACAAACAGCTGAAAGGAAATGGGAGTAGAGAGGCTGAGGTTGAAGGACTTTGTTCCTGGAACTATATGAACAAGAGGAATGATTTACTATATTTGCAAAATTGCCTCCTGACGCAGGTCCTCTGGGCAGTTCCCCAAGCAAATAAGAGAAAACAAAACCACAGTATGAAGCAATAAACTATTAAAAATTAAAAATACAATTAAGAGAGGAAACGGTGTTCCATAATGGAGAGACGGACGTTCTGCAGGAGCAAAATGTGTTTCTACCCCAAGGCAATTATGCTTGCAATCTAGAGAGAAGTATCAGCAACTCTTCTCTGTACTGCCTGCTTCCAATGTGGTTCTGGGGGAAAGGCTGAGAGAAATTAGGCAGTTCTTCAGCAAGCAAGCTTAGCTCAAGGTCTGATGTTCCTCCACACTTACTTTGTCAGGCCTTAGACAACGAATGATGAGCATCCTTTGGAATTCCCCCACTTTCTCTTGCCACACATCAGGAAACGGCTCGTGGTGAGGCTCCTGCAAACAAACATGTACACTTCTGGGTTCCTTACCTTTCAAACTCGAACACTGCCCCCCAAAAACATAACTACAAAGCATAAGTAGTTGATTAACACACGTGCACATGGACACACACATACAGAACAGTTCTATCGGGGTTCTCTTCCATAGCACTGACAGTCCTTTTCATGCAATAACATGTGTAATGAGCCTTAAAGGTCCTTATGGCCTCCTGATCTAGAGGCCAAATGAGAAATGTTGTGTTTGGGGGCAAGGAGACCACTTTAATGAATTCAGTGTCACACTCATGGGTTTCTGGGTGGCCAGGGACACAATATTTATTGAATATTTATTTATTTACGGGGAAAAAACTGTGCATAACCAAAACCATGGTGTTCAGACCCATGCAATTCAAGGGAAAAGTATACATTCTTTGGTGGGCAATTATCAGCAGACAGGTATGCATCTTTCCAGCAACAAATATTTGCATCTTCTAGATTTCAATACCCTGAGTCAAAGCCTCTTTGTCTTGCTCTCATTATTGCTCTGGATATAATGCAGGAATTGTGAACACTTGAAACACATAAAGGGGGACAAAGAATGGGAAAGGGAGACAGAAAATAGAGGCATGAGGAAAAGAAAAATATTCTTAGGCCTACATCCAACTGTGAGCCCTAACTAGACTCTGTTACTAGAGAAGGGCATGAACTGGTTTGTCCTGGTTCATCCCAAGTCATAAAGGTGGTGGCACAGGTGCTGGTGCTCCCCTCCCCCACCTCCTCTGGCTCAAACAGCTACCCACCAGCTCTAGCTTGCTGGGTTTTTTCTGTCGCCTCAACTGATCTTCCAGTCCCTGCAACAGCTCAGACTTCTCCAACCCTCTCTCTTGGTTGATCTTCCACTCAGACAAAAGGATGGGCCAGTGAAGTTTGTGCTCTTGCTCATGATTGGGAGATTAGCCAAGGAGGTGGGAAATTCAAGCACGCTGGGCCTGGTGAGTGGCTGTTTGAACCAGACGGAAAAAAATCTGTGTATAACCAAAACCATGGTGTTCTCAGACCCATGCAATTCAAGGGAGAAGTATACATGCTTTGGTGGGCAAGTCTCAGCAGACAGGAATGCATCTTTCCAGCAACAAATATTTCCATCTTCTAGATTTCAATGCCCTGAGTCAAAGCCTCTTTGTCTTGCTCTCATTATTGCTCTGGATATAATGCAGGAATTGTGAACACTTGAAACACATAAAGGGGGACAAAGAATGGGAAAGGGAGACAGAAAATAGAGGCATGAGGAAAAGAAAAATATTCTTAGGCCTACATCCAACTGTGAGCCCTAACTAGACTCTGTTACTAGAGAAGGGCATGAACTGGTTTGTCCTGGTTCATCCCAAGTCATAAAGGTGGTGGCACAGGTGCTGGTGCTCCCCTTCCCCCACCTCCTCTGGCTCAGACAGCTACCCACCAGCTCTAGCTTGCTGGGTTTTTTCTGTCGCCTCAACTGATCTTCCAGTCCCTGCAACAGCTCAGGCTTCTCCAACCCTCTCTCTTGGTTGATCTTCCACTCAGACAAAAGGATGGGACAGTGAAGTTTGTGCTCTTGCTCGTGATTGGGAGATTAGCCAAGGAGGTGGGAAAATCAAGCAAGCTGGGCCTGGTGAGTGGCTGTTTGAACCAGAAGGGAGGAGGACAGGAGCAGCATCACATGTGCTACTGCCTTTACGAACCAGGACGAACCGGTTCATGCCCATCTCTACCTATTACCAGACTGGCCAGGTTTGTACAACATCTCTCCAGAGTCTCATTTTTGCCAAGACATGTATGCGCATGCCACAGACTGTTGGAAAACTGTATGGCCAAGGACAAATAAAACTTAAAAACGGGCTGAAAAGAAATATCTTCTGGTCTCAAGGTAAGCCAAGGCCTCAACTTCTATCATACTGCCGTGCGTATTTATATTCTTCTATGTTTTTAATTGTATTTATTGTATTGTAATGTTATCCTCAATGCACTTTATGACTTTCAATTTTACCCCTATGTATAGATGTTGCTTGCTATTTTGTTACTTTGTTGTTTTATGTTTTATGTTACTTGTTGTAAACTGCCCAGAATGGCCTTGGCTGCCTAAACAAACAAACAAACAAGAAAGAGGAAATGACAGGAATATAGGTAGCTCTAGTTGACTCATTAAAATTATACACAAGCCATGAATGCCCTAGCCAAAAAGCGGCTCAGAGGATAGCCTTCTTATAGAAAGGTCACATAGATTAGATCACGTTCTTTTGTTTTTGTACTGCACAGATTATCTGGGAAAGAGTCTAGAATATTCTGCATGTTTGTAAACAGAGTCTGTCCACTTCCTCCTTCCTGTCTGTGAAATGGCCCATTATATTTCCATTGTCCCTGGACCATCGGGTAGGATTAACCAGGTGGGCAACGTGCCATAAGCCATTTCTGATAGGAAGGGACAGAACAGCTAAATTTGTATTCTATATTTATATCACAGCACTGAGCAGAGGATTGAACTCAATGGCCTTATAGGCTCCTTCCAACTTCATGAGTCTATGATTCGGAAGAGCGCATATGGCTAACAAGAGGGCAGGTCACTTTAGTCTGCCTGGCCAAAACCAGATGCAAAGATACTCAGTAGCCATATTAGGGTCTGAGAAAAAATTCTGGAGGAAGGTGTTTGCTGTCTCCATTTTTCTCTTAGAGCCCTTCCGTTCCTCCTGATCCCTGCCAGCTGGAGTTCCAACGCCTCCCCCCCAACCCCCAGCTGTAAGGCAACAAGACTAAAGAAAGGGAATCTTTGCCACCCCTAATCTATCTTCTGGCAGTATCTTCCCCACACATTGATGGCTCCTCAATCTACCCCTTTTTTTCTTTCTGTGTGCCTGCTTTAAGAAAAGTTCCTTCCTTCCTTTCCTCCTCTTATCCTTGCTGCATCTTTGCAAATAGTCAGTGCAGGCACTGCAGAACTTTGCAATGCAGCCTGAATTTCAGAACCCACCAGCCAGGTAAATTTGCTTCTTTTGAGTTTATATTTTCTCATACAGTATAAGTTATATACTGTACTTCATTGTTTAATCCTTCTGGTTTCCCAATTTAGGGCACCCAGTGTGGTGTAGTGGGTAGAGTGACAGACGAGAACTCGGGGGACCTGGGTTCCAATCCCCGCTCAGCCACAGAAACTCACTGTGGGTGTGAGAAACTCACGGGGTGTGTGGAACTGGTAAGACCATCCTTAAATACCTCACTAACCTAGAAAATCCCATTAGGATCACTCTAAATTGGTTCCAACTTGAAGGTACATAACAACATTTCCCAACATAATTATTGGGCATATTTTAATTCCGGTTGTTCAATAAAATTCCCCTTATGAATAACTTTTTGTGAGTGTGATTGATTGATTGATTGATTGATTGATTGATTGATTGATTGATTTATTTATTTATTTATTTATTTATTTATTTATATCCCGCCTATCTGGTCGTGATATACTAGGTCCTCTCTGTGTCATGGTACAGTATTGCCATAACTGCCATAGACTGAAGATCCTTTATGGGTGTATCTCCAAGACATGTATGAGTTCATGCATGTGCTCTGATAACATACCTGGATCACCCAATCAAAATAATGTGGCATACGTGAGTGTCAATTTACCTACTTTCCACTGACTCAGTGGTTTCCTTTAATAGGGAGAAGCACTTGGATTTAGGCCATATCTCTTTCAGACGTACAGTTTTCCATTTGAAATATCCCTCTCGCCTTAGCATTCCAAGTCCATGCTTATGAAATTAAATGAGTATTTGGACCAGAGGCTAAACATTTCTTCCCCCGTATCTTCTCTGCTCACCAAATATTATTTTTCTTTTATTTTTAAGTGATAACTATCATGGTGGCTGGACAGCTCATTAAGTTTAGGTATCTGGCTGCAGAACCGGAGGCTGTGAATTTGATTCCCACTGTGCATCCCAGAAACAACCAGCCTGTCTGGCCTTGGGCAAGCTGCACTGTCCCAGGATGTGCCCAGAAGAAGGGAAGGGTAAACCTATTCTGTATGTAGAGAAGCCTGGAAAGGGTCACCATAAGTTGGATTTGACTTGAGGGCACAGCCATACACAAGGATCTTTTTACACACATTTGCCTGTAATGTATAGTTAGTTGTTAAGAGTGAATAATTTTTTGAAACATGCAGTGTTACAAACACAGATTAAACAGATAAAATGTGTAATCCGATGCCCTGTCCTGCCCAAAAGTTCCCAATGAGAATGTATTCTGAAACTCTTCCTGTGCTTTCTGCACCCCACCTAAAACAAACAGACCAATCAATGCAAAAGAATAAATGGTCGTGGATCTGACATCAAAACTAGTAGCATTCAAAGCCTCCGGAACACATTGTTACAAATCCCAAAGCAAGCGTTCTGAAGTAAAAAAAAAAATCTTCAAAGAGAGATTAAAGTGAGAAATGGCTCAAATGTATTAGGAGGTTCAGTTCTATGCCCTGTGGACTAAAGATTTTTTTTTAAATCATGCCTTATATGTCAATTACCTGTCAAAACCAATTATTTCATGAATGGTCACTATTAATAATGTGGAGATTACTGCACTAGTTACATATCGTTTCACTACAGAGTTTGGGATGTGAGTGTTTAGAAGTAATTCATTATGTTACTCATGACAAAGCCACTACTACATCTCCCATAAGTAACTTGTTCATCAACATTACAAAATGAGTCCACTGTGTTACCCACTACTTTTATTGTTACTCATTAGACATAGGCACGGACCTCAGTTCGGAGGTTCATACACACGGCGCCACAGTTGCCACGCATTCCCTTCCCCCACCTCCCTGGATGGATACTCCACTCACCAGCCGGTGCATGCTCCTGCCCTTCTCTTCTTTAAGTGTTCGTCCAGTCCCTGGCAGGAGCATGGGCTTCCCTGTCCCACCTCCTTGGCCACTCAGACAAGGAGACAGGACCGGCAATCCCTTGATCCTGCCAGCGACTGGCTGAACAGCTGTAGAGGAAGAGGAGAGGAGCACGCGACAACTGGTGAGTGGGATATTGGCTGGGGAGGCAGGGGAAGGGAACGTGTGGTACTTGTGGTGATGTGCATACAAACCGGCACGAACCTCCAAAACAAGATTCCTACCCATCTCTATTACTCATTAGTTAATCTTTTTTTCTTCTGATATATATAGTAGGAAAATCATCCAAAACTAGAAAACATCCTCTCAAGAATCCTGCCCTTCCCCAAGCTTTTTTACCCTAAAGGAAGGAAGGGTAACAGAAAAATGTAAAACACTAAAAACATAAAACACAACTGTCATTCTGTTACTGTTATCCTTTCCCACGAAACTAATGAGTAATAGATAAAGTTGTTATTTACCATGTGTTACTTCTGAGCTCACTTTACAGTCACCTGCAACTGTGCATGAACACTTGGGCCTTAGGACAACATTGTATGCATATGAAGACATGGACTGTAGTCTGTGAAAGACTGCCCCATTTCAAATAATGGGAGTTTCTGTATGTGCAAGCGGGCAGGGAACGTCCTGTGTGCAAACTCCAGCAAAGCACCACCACTCTTGCAACAACAGAAACCTTTCCACACAGGCAAAACCTGGACGCTTCACAACCCATCCTCACATGCTGCCCACCCCGCCCTTGTGTAACATGCCAGCCTAAACAAAACTGCTAGCCCTCCCTAGAGAACTCAGTAATCAACAGCTGAAATGTGAGAGCAGCCTTATGCAAATCCCATTAATTTTAGTGGACCTACTCTGCCCAGCCACGACAGGAATCTTCCAGTTCAACCAGTGAGGCACAACCTCCTGTAACAACTGGTAACGGTCACTAAGGCATCCGGTTCATCAAGCAATGTGGCTATTTTAGGGTTATATGAGTCTGCTTTACACTGTGTTCAACCATGGGTCCAACTGCTCTCCATATTAAGGAGCATCTCTTCAAGTTTTCAAACAGCCATTTTCCTCTATTCTGTTAACCTTGAATCCTGGAAATGGAAACTGGGCTATTGATGCGTGGGAAGCATGTATTCTGCCCCCAAGAACCTTCATGGTAGAGAAAAACTATGCATGCTTGAGATGTTGAGGGTGAGATGCAGGGCGAACATTCAGTGAAGAAAAGAGGATAGATAAGGGCGGACAACGTACCAAACTATCATAGACGGATTTCCATCCTTCTTTCAAGTTGATAAATCCCTTCCGAATACCTTTGAAGGCATGCAAATCGTCCAAGCGACAGATTTCATCCCACGATTTTGGGGGAAGCCAGGGGCAGGGATTAGAGTAAGGATTGTCCAGGCCTATGCCTCCCGTGAGCAGAAACTTCCACTCGGCTTCATCGATCTGCAATGAATTCAAATAAAAGGAGGAGGATGAGAACGCTGGGATTTGAGACACAGCTTTCAAATTTAGTCCTAGTACTACAGAGTAGGAGCCATATGCGCAGGGACAGCATGAGTGGTCAGCATTGTCTCACACACACACCCCAAAGCGTCCCCTCCTCCTCTTTGTATGGCTCCCTTCAGTACCTGCCCTTGGCAGCTCTATTAACAAGTCTAAGAGGAAGAAGAAGAAGAAGGAGAAAGCCACATTTGGCCTGGCCTCCCCCTGAAAACTACAAAAGATTGCTCTCTGGGAAGAGGCCGACAGTTTGGTCAGGGGCAAGTGCAGGTTTACTCTTGGGCCAGGCTGGATTCACAAAGTGCATTTGGTCCAGGAAATCCACCAGATTCTGTAACTGGCCCTGACACAACTCTTCTCACAGCTGTATGTACAGTGGAGCCTCGCTAGACAATGATAATCCATTCCACTGAAATTGCTGTTTAGCAAAATCATTGTCTAGCGAAAAGCATTTCCCCCTTGGAATGCATTGAACCCTGTTCAATCCGTTCCAATGGGGAAGAATCGTCGTTGTCTAGCGAAGATCGGTCATAGGAAAGCCGCTTTGCGAACCGCCGATCAGCTGTTTAAATAGTTGTCTTGCGAAGCTTAGGTCCCGAAAACACCCTTTTTGCGCGCGCAGAGGGAGCTGTCAAAATCATTGTCTAGCGAACATCGGTTTGCAAAGCAGGGACCAAACATTGTCCAGCGAAATTCCCCCAGAGGAATCTCTGTTTTGCAAATCGTTACAGCGATTGCAAAAAGTCAATGTCTAACAAAAACTGTCATGCGGGGTAACTGTCTAGCAAGGCACCACTGTATGTGGGGAATTAGTTCTGTGCCAGCCAAATGTCATACTGTTGCTCTCGGACACTACGGGTATTATAGTTATACGAGAGGTTCTCAGATCCAAATGCAGGTGATGGGTGTGATGTCATGTGGTTCTAGAAAGAACCAGCCAGGGAAGGACCCCAATGGCCAGGGGGCCACAAGGGGGACACCTTGTTTGAAACCCCCTCACACCCCGAGTGGGCCTTGGTCTAAATAACTAGTATGCAGAGACGTTCCGAGCTGCTCATAGCCACTGGCCTATTTGAGAACCTGCTTCATTTACATTATTATATGTGGTGTACTTATATGCCATCTTTCCTGCAAGCACTTCATCATACATGGCCCTTTTCCTCATGACCTTCTTCTTACAACAATCCTGTGACCCAGAGGTTAGGCTGCGCATGGATCAGGCCTAGAGCCACCCGGTGAGTTTCATGGCCCAGTGGGGATCTGAACCACATCTCCTGAGTTCCAGCCCTGATAGACTGCAAATGACAGCCATGTTGCTCTCATGAAGGAGTAAAGAAATAACCATCCTGGGGCTTGCCAACAGATTAATAGATTAATATGCTTCACGCCATGGAGTCGTTTATCTAGCAGCACTAACCAATTTATCATGCTTCAGAAGGTTTACGTTCAGGCAGAAGGAAAAGAGCAGCTTGTCTTTTTCAAAGAGGGAGCGGCAGATATTCACATAGAGAGAGTAGGTAAAGTGATCTTTGAGAATCCTCAGTCTGCAATTGTGAAAAGAAAGGGGTGGGGGAGAATCCAAATTAATCTCACTTTGAAGCTAGCAACTTTGTAAACACAATTACAAACCACTTAGATTTCAGCTGTTCTGGTCCATTTACCCGCTGGAAAAAAAATTAAGAATACTCATTAACTGCATAGCAATTTCTGAGTAGCAACGAAGCTGTCTTGAAATTTCTTAGAAGTTCTGCCAAGAAATGTTCTCCTCTTTTTCATTTTCTGGTCTCACCCCTTAGAAAAACAGGGCCACTTTGCAAAAAATGCCCAGAAATATTCTCCCTCATTTACTGGTGGCGGCTGCCTCCCTTTCCCTATCCAGACATATACACGACACAATATCCAAAAATGACACTTGGCTCCTTCATTCGCCTCTCGCCACTTAAAACTTATGAATGGATGTCAACCATTCTCTCTCTGAAAGAGAGGCTGAGGTAACTGGTGGAGCCCATGGGCGCTCAAATACATCTTGCTAGCGATTTGTCTTAGTCTCACTTCCTGACTCAAAAACCCTTGTTAGCCATTTACACCCGCTCCCTTTGAGTGTGTCAGCAGTGAAATATAAGCAGCACATTGACGTCTTGTTGACACAAAATAAAATACAAGCTGGTGAAAGCTGCACACTCCGGCAAGTTGTACTGTATGTGTATTCATTTGCTTCACAACCCTTTCCCCTAGGTCATTATTTGCAGAGCTATAAGCCCAATGGTCAACCCATGAGGGCTTTGCAAGTCAGAGCTTGGAAACAACACATCACAAATAATGCTTTATGTTAATTCATTGAGGATTTTTGAATAACGGGGAGTTGAAGAATACATAATGAACAGATAACTTTGGGAGGAGGGCATTTCTCATATTAGATTACAATGTAATTGTGGTGCAATGCTCCATGAAGATACAAGGTCAAGATTACATATATCAGACAAACTTTGTCCCTTTTGATGTCCACATCATGTAAATCACAAATTCTTTTATTCTTAGATTATATATATATTCTTAGATTATATATAGCTAGATAGATAGATAGATTATAGATAGGAGCCAAGTGTCATTATATATATATATATCTGATATATCTGGGGGCCCAAAGGTCCATGGATGTCCCTATAACATAGACCAGGGCTAAGCAACACATGACCTGTGGACTTCATACGGCCCTTACAGATCTTCTGCAGCTCCTGTAGGCATCAAAATCCACTGTTACTGTTTTTTAAACCCTGTATATCTGGCTCTGCAGCCACAGGTTAGAAGTTCGATTCCCCACTTCCTGTGCCTCCTGGGAGAAAGAGCCAGCCTAGGTGGCCTTGGGCAAGCTGCACAGTCTCAGGATACCCTCAGAAGAAAGCAATGGCAAACCACTTCTGAGTACTCTCCACCTAGAAAAGCCTGAAAAGGGTCATCTTAAGTTGGAGTTGACTTAATGTCACACTATTATTATTATTATTATTATTATTATTATTATTATTATTATTATTATTATTAAAAACAAGGCACATGAGGAGCACATGCCTTGTTCCAAAGGAGAATCAGTCCCAGAAACATGATTCTCCTTTAAAACAAAGCAAACACTCACTAAAAAATTGGAAGAGGTGAAACTGACACCTGTACCCACCAAAGGTGCTCAACCCTAACATAAAATGAGAAACATACATACACCCTGCTGTTTACTCCAGTGGACCAGAGGTACAGCCATCTGAAAGCACTGGATCCATACATATGTATTATGTTGCACACCACACTTACTGTAACGCACGACACATTTGCTATCTGAAGACTGAAATCTGGATTAGATGCTTGCGATTGCCTCATTACCGTCTAGGGGCCCGTCTAGTCCAGCTTCCTGTATCTCACAGTGACCCCACCAGATGCCTCTAGGAGCACACGAGACAATGAGATCCCTGTCTCCTCTGATCCCCCTCCCCTGCATCTGGCCTTTGGAGGTCCCTTCCTTCTAAGCCTGAAGATTACACATCCCCATGTGTTCTAAAATGGCTCCAAAGGGTTGGTAAACACCAGGCATAAAAACAAACAAGCATCCAAAAAGCAGGAAGCAGAAAGCGGCAAAACTAAACAAACTGTAAAGCACACATTCATGAATTAACTATTCTCAAGTTCCATAAGGGCATCACATAAAATCTGACACTGAACTCAATTTTCACAGCACATTACTATTTAAATGAGGCCCCAGTGAAATCAACTTAAATGTTATGTCCAATTAACGGAAGATATTGGAATCAGTTAACTCAGCCATCTCTAATTTCCATAGGGTTTGTTGTTTGAAGCTTATTTAGACATTTATCCTTTTGATTTATTTCAATCAAAAGAAATTTTGCAGGACTGTGTCTAAAAAGATGTGTTTTCAGTAACTTCTTCTTACCAAGAAATAGTTGGTGCCTGTGACCAAGACAATAGTCTTGCATGGTTCCTCACATAGCAACTTCATCATCATCATGTGCTGTCAATTTTGACTTATGACAACCCTTTTCAAGGGTCAACCAGGTAGAAAATACTCACACGCGGTTCACCGTTCCCTTTTTTCGGGCGCGCTCTGGGATAGTGCAGCTTGCCCAAGGCGCCATAAGCGAGGTCTACTCGCAGTAGTTCCCAGCCTCTGGCTCCGCAGGCAGACATGTAAACCACTGAGCTATCCAGCCCAGCTATCCAGCGCAAAATATTAATATTTTAAATTGCTGTGAATATCATGCTATAGAACTTCTCTTGAAAAGCTTTATGTGTATTTGCAAGAGTTTAAATAAAATCAAGTATCCTTGAACCCTATTTATTTCAACATATGCCTACACCTCCATAAATCCACAGTTTCTTCAAAATAGTAAGAAACCAAATATACACTGAGAAAATGTCTGCAAGTAACAGAAACAAAAAAATTATTGGATGTGCCAATGCTTGAATAAATGTTCCCAGAAAAATGAAAACAAAAATCGTTTTACATACCTGTCCTGTAGTACCTCGGACTTCTCAGAGTTATCTATGGACATGATAAAAAGGTTGATGAACCATGTGAGGGAATACTGGTACATGGGTTCAATATTGGCCAGATCCGCAATGGAAAAGAACAGAATCGAGGAATGGACAGCAATGGGGCGGTAGCCCATTCGAGTGGCATCTATCTTCTTTTCTGTTTCTTCTGCAACAGCCTGCTTTTCTGAAATTTCATTAGCCAATGCCTTAGATGAAGACAATATCTTGATGGCTGTCTCATCCTCTAAAATGTTTCCTTCGGAAGATGAAAGCACTTCTAAAATTTTGTCCTCTATTTCTTTTAGCTGTCTGTAACAAAAAGACCCAAAGATTGTAGAAAAGCTGTGAAGGACGAAGCCCCCAAGGGATATTTGTGCGTAGGCATGCATGCACACATACACACATATTCCAATGATCATAGAGCTCCAAAGGAAGAAGAGCAGTGTTCAGTTCAAGGAGACGGTAAGGTCCAAGCTGGATGTTATGACACAGAGAAAGAGAAAACAGTGGCCCCTGCTCTTTTCAGCAGCGACTAAGAGTGTGGCATGCCATATTGTGACACCCGTGGTGGCCGGGAGTGCCTTTCCACAGTTAAAGCTAGCGCACCAGCTGCATCCACATCTGGAGAGGTCTGATCTGGCCACAGTGATACATTAGTCACATCCCGACTGGCATACTGTAATGCTCCGGAAAGTGTTTGGAAACTTCAGCAGGTCCAGTCACATCCCAGCTGGCATACTGTAATGCCCTGGAAAGTGTTTGGAAACTTCAGCAGGTCCAAAACATGCCAGCCAAATTGCTAACTGAGTTGGTCTTTCCATCTACAGATAAATTGTGCTAAAAATGAACTACCGAGAGCAATCAAAGGAAAACCTGACCAACATCAGGCTGGTCAATGATTCTTTTTACCACAATAGATGGTCAGAGGCCCATGGGAGCACAGAAAGTGGCCTTACACCATGTCAAACTGGATACCTGAAGAACCACCTCCTTCCATATGAGCCTACCCAGCAGTTAAGACCTAGCCAAGGGGCCCTTTTGAAAGAGCCGCCCATCGAGGAGGTAAGAAGGAGGGCTTGTAGAGAAAGGGCCTTTTCGGCAGCTGCCCCCAGACTATGGAATGCCCTCCCACTCGAAATTCATCTGGCACCGACGCTGATGACATTTCGGCGCCAGGTCAAAACCTTCCTATTCCAGAAGGCTTTTAATTGAAATAATATCAACTTTGGGTCCTGATGCCAATTTTAGGAGTATATATTTTAATTGTATTTTAAGTTTTGTCTTTTTTATTGTATTTTGTTGTAAGCCGCCCAGAGACCTTTGGGTAGTGTGGGCGGCATATAAGTTAAATAAATAAATAAATGAACAAACAAACAAACAATGGGTCTATCCAGCCTGGAATTGCCAACTCTGTCTGGCAGAAGGTCTTCATGTAGGACTTTTCTCTTGCCCTATCTGGAGGACCCCAATGTTCCTTGGTTCCCAGGAAGATTACAAGCAGAACGTGAAGGCAGTAGCTCTCTCCTACGCTAAAAAAATTATTACTTCATCATCCTCCACTTTGGTATAAAGGTATCCTCCCCTAAGTTCCTTCCTAAAAAGCCTTTTCTGTGGGGGGATAGGGATGGGGGGGCACATAGACCAATTGCAGCCACCCCAGTTTAAGGGTTCCTGTCACCCTTTGTTGCTGAATTTGCTATGGTGACAGTACAGAAACAGCACAAGATCTCTTCAAAATAAGAAAGATATGTGGGAGCACTTGCCTTGACTTCTAGCTGTATCAAAGACCAGAAAGGTTCATAGGACCAAGATTTGCCTTTTTAAAAAAGCAGGCAACAAATTCAATAAAGTGGCAATGGCAGTCCAGGGTGGTGACCATCTATGAGATCAATGGAAGCAAATGCAGTTCACCTTCCCTCAGAGGTTGCACGCCTGATCTCTCACTTTGAACTAGCATTCATCTACCCTAGAGTTGATGACCCTCAGCTAACATATATGTGTAGCACCTATGCTGTGACAGACACATGAGCATAGCAGTCACATCATTCAGAAAGCTGCTGATTTTGGACCCTGGTTTTTGATCTGTCGCTGCTCTCAAGCAATAGGAAGGCACTGTAGTTTTCTTGGACATAATCCAATTCTGCGTCAGTGTCATCACAAGGGCCAGAAAACAGGCATCTGTGATAGCCTGTTGTCAGAGATCAAAGCTGAAACATTCATGTTACAGAGTGGTTACTGAGGCAGCCAGAGGATATTTGTAAAATCAAATTTCAAGGGAATGCTACACTTAAGTTCTGAAGCCAAAGGATGCTGGTCTGCATATTCCTGGAAGTGAAATTAAGTGTATCTACAATATTACAATTCCACATCTAGTCTTAGCATGTCTTCCTCTACAGCCACTGCCATTTTGCTAAGACAGCATTCTAACCAGTAACATTTTCATACCTTTTGTTTTCAGCCCCTTGCAAAATCAGCGCTTGCTTTTCTTCTTCAAGGTCTGGTCTCTCTCGTGCGACAACTATTCCAAGAAGCTGATCTTGCATCCCCTCGGGTGTTATCATGAAGTTCAATAATGTCACCTATGAGATTCAGAAGTGTTCCAAATCAAACTAGCATTAGGACTACATAAACCAGGGGTGGGGAACCTCTGATCCTCCAGATGTTCTGGACTTCAGCTCCCATAATCCTGTACCATCCGCTATGCTGGGTGAAACTTCTGTTACCTGATGCTAGAGGGCTAACAGCTCCTCACCCATGAGATAAACGATAATCCCTGTAAGAGGTTGTTAGACTCCAGGTCTCAGCAGGAGCCCCCTGCACAACCAATAATGAAGGATCATGGGAGCTGTAGTTCCACAACTTCTGGAGGGCCATATGCTCCCCACTTATACTCTAGAAGTGTGTGCCGAGTATTCTCATTAGACAAAAGAAAAAGCAGCAGCCTGCAGTAGCCACAGAGGCGCCCAAGAGACCAACTGCAGTGGAAAGCATTTGTGCTGCTTAGAAGAAGAAAGCAGAGAGTGCGTTGTTTCTATGCAAACAGCTTACTTTGACAGATGTTTCTGGCAGGTAGTGTGGGTTTCTCAGCTTGGTCGTAATATAAAAGCGGAAGTCTGGGGCATATTCAATGGTGGAATCTCCCAGGCGGATGCAGATACTGCCAGCCTGCTTGAATGTTTGCTTCAGCAGAAGCGGCTCAAGAATAGGGTCCAGCTCTTCGCCAACATTTTCCAAGAGCACTTGAAGACAGAGCCAAAATAAAAAAGGTTTTCTAATGCCATAAACAGTGGAACTTCACAATTCGCAGGAAAGGCAGGGTTGGGGAGGAGACAGAAGAGGGGGCGAGAAATACAATTCTAGAAACAAAAAACACATACATGCAATAAAAATTAAACTAAAGGGGGAATAATGAGTCTTGGGTACCCAATTATTCAAAGGTCAGTGGAAAATAAAATATTTTTATAACTCTCCTAGCGCCTGCAGGAATTTCGAAGAATCTACCATACTATTCAACAATAGAAAGAATAGGAAATGTGTATAATAAAAGGAAGGAAAACCAATGAATAGTCAATGCTGGAAAAGCATGTTTTAGAGACTTTTACTGAGACAACTCAAAGATAAATTTTTTCAGGAAGATACATTTAAATCAGCTGAATGTATGGCATAACTGATCTCATTAAATTTGAAAGTAGAATTTGTAAACATTAAAGATTGAATCAAATCAACAACTAAGGGGAGATATGTCTTTAACAACCAAAAGCCTAATTTCTACCAAGTGGAAATCAGGACAAAGTAACAGAATTTAGGAATTGAGCTATAAAGTGTGGCATAGAGCTCAATTGAGAGAATTAATCACATATATACATGAAGATAAAACTCATCAAGGAAGGATGTGTTTTAATTAAAAGTTGCATAATTCTGTAAGATACTGAAGGAAAATACAATGTGAACAATACTAAAAAATTTGGGGGGTATAATCACTTAATAAGAAATAATCAGCTGTATTATAAAATCCCATTTGTTTCTGCTTTTTATTGATCCTTATCTGTGCATTTTTGTGAAAATGTTTCTCTTAAATGAAAATTTTACCTAAATTATTTCTTACACATAATTTCTCAAAGTAACCTACTTTGTTACACCTTGTTATGGTTGTTTTAAGATTATCAGATAACCCAATAAATGTACTCTGACTCAGATTCCAGTGTGGTAATTAAGCCCTATTCAGGAGCTGGAACTGCACCTTTGAAATCATCTGGAGAAAATGTATTTATTCTGGATTAGTTGCCAAAAGGCATACGATCTCTTGTAATATGTGACATGCTCAATGCCTTTGTCTTTGTCATAACCTGTTATGAGTGGGCATGCGCGTTGCCACCGTGGGCACGTCAAAGGTCACATGATGGGAGAATCAGGCCCCGCGCTTGCCTCCCCGTTTGAAATGTTTTTTAAAATTACCACCGTGGGCACGTCAAAGGCTGGCCACAATGTCACATGATGGGAGAATCAGGCCCCACTCTTGCCTCCCCGTTTGAAATGTTTTTTAAAAGGTATAGTTTACGTATGTTCATCTTTGGATGTGCAATTTAATCACAGATTTAAAAAAAAAGAAAAGAAAGGATTGCAGATCCACATACACAAGTGGAGGAGGAGGAAAGGAGAAAAAAATGAAGATGTGTTGGTGGTCATGGAAAAATGAGGAAGATGGGAAACAGAGTTGTGGAAGGGGTGGGCAAAAGACTGGGCACCATTTCAAACTGCAACAGGGCTGGAGGTCATGTGATATGGCACGAGTCACTGGACATTCAATACGTGTTTTCCCCCCCGGCACTGTAGTTCCAAGCCAGGCATTGTGGATGAAAGAACTGAGGTCCAAATGGGCAGTGGGGATTTCAGAGATGCGCATTAGCTTTGCTTTCTAGATCTCTGCCCCACTGAGAAATCAGCAAGACTCTCTCACGTTTGACATGCTCCTGGTTTCCCTGTGATCAAGAATTCTAATAATACTCCTTATGGAAGGGCATTCAGCTGCCTAGGCTCTGTCCCAGACCTTCCTGCTAATGACAGGATGATCTGAGACCGTCTCAAGGAGGGGGGCTTGGGGGTGGGCGCCCCTCTTCCCACCACCCACTTGGCTCTCCACAGTTTCAGCCATAACATGACTAGTGCATGAAAAGGGGGTTCCGCACCTTCCATGATTGTTCTCCATAGGTGTGAAAAGATGCAGTGTGACAAGGAATACATTATGTGGGACATCATTCCCCCCCTGCTCACTTGGAGATCTCCCATACATAACACAATGGAAGGGCTTGTGCAGTGGCACATTCCTTTTCTTGCATGTTGACTTAAAACTGGATAACAAAATCTCTGGATGGAACTACAGATAAACAGAGACATCAACTGACTTCAACGATTCACATTTCTAAAGCTGAAGAAAAGCTAGTCTGTTTCGGCATGCCGCAACAATTGAGCCCAAAATCAGACATACAGGACGGCTAATTTTCATGTTATCTTTGTCTGCAGGTAACTATTTACTCTTTCAAATTAGATTGCCTTTTGTCTACATTGTGAACATTATGAGGAAGGCCTCTTGTGAAATGTCCATACAGTCATGCTAGCCTGCAGTCTGTCGCAGCAAAGCTGAGAAAAAGACGGTTCTTTCACAGCATTACGTTTTATTTGGTGTAAGCTTCCACGGCCTGGTTTTTAACCTGCAGGTTTTTAAATGTTTTTGAATTGTTTTTATACCTGATTTTTTTTCATCTTAATGTATCTTTAATTGTTTTTTTTCCAGCATAATATTTGCATAGTGTTTTTAATTTTGTTATTTTATCTGTTAATGTTTTCTGAATTGTTTTTATACCTGATTTTTTTCATCTCAATGTATCTTTAATTGTTTTTTTAGCATAATATTTCCATAGTGCTTTTAATTTTGTTATTTTATCTGTTGTGAGCTGCCTTGAGTCCCCTATCGGGAGAAAGGTGGCATATAAATAATTTAAATACAATAATAAATCAAGCTCCATTCCATTCAGCAGGATATCTGCCCACTGTATGAGACTGCAGCCTGAGTCAGTAGTTGAACTTAATGTTTCAAAGATAAACATGCACAGGGTAGGAACCACCAATTTGATCAGAAGCTCAGTAACATTATTTTCTTGACAGATCCAATCAAGGAAAAAATAATATAATGCTTGAATGAGTGACTCAGACAAAAAAATTAAAGAGCACCGTGAGTACCAGTAATTTTACTACCCATTGACATTTCAGTGGGTACAAAATGGAATGTGATAAACTGCTTCAAAAACCACAGCTGATGCTTTAGGGTGCTGTTACTTACCAGGTGTACCAAACTGGACACAATTCTCCAGCGTTCGCACAAATTCAGAATCACTGAGTTTGATGACATGCAAGCTGTTTGCCTTTTCCATGTGCTTCACCCATTTGTTTGCTTGACCTTGAGGATCTATCATCAGAGGCCATCTTCTTGCATTGCTAGAGAGAGAGAGAGACATAGAGAAAAACTTAGTGAATGAGTTTTGCATACAGTGTAGGAATCAGATAAGTTTTCTTCACTGAATTCAAAGTAGTTGAATTCAGGTAAATAAGGCACGTACAAGGTATGCTTCCTGTAAGATCTGCACTTCCTTGAGGTTTCCAAAAGTGCAATCCACTTTAAAAGGAAGCTCCTCCATCTTGCTTTAGTGGGGGGGGGAGGGGAAGCAGTGGTTTTTCTTCCATCACAGTGAATCCAGCTGTTCCAGATGTAGGGTGCCATCTCCAGATGATGCAATGCCCCCCACTTGCAAAATCCAGTCCCAGTCTAAAATGTTTATCAAAATCCTCCCCCCCCAGTCTAAAATATTGGCTACTTACGAGATAATGATGCCATTATCAATGGAAAATGAATCAGAAGGTAAACCAGAAATGTTCCAGGCTCTGATTTTCACTGGTTCTCCTAAAGTAGTAGTCAGAGAAAAATCATCCGAGCAGGGGATGCCTCTTGCTTTCAGTGTCAAGATCCAGTCCCGTGCTTGATTCTGAACGGAAAGAAGGCTAATGTCAGCCAATATTACTATCAGCCACTCCTAGGTAAGCTTTGTGGTGCCACCAAAAGCAAAACACTGAAGTTCAGTGTCTTCCCAAGGGTTCTCACCCTCGATACAAAGCTGCCAAGGCAAATCCATGTTGTCTTACCATTTTTAATCCTCTGCCTTGCAGTAGAAGCTGAGAGCTATTATGCCTCCCACACAGAGCCCCAGGAATTACTTCAAACTAGGGCTGTCATAACCCTAAAGAAATCTTAACTAATTAGTTCTATGTGTTTCTGTCAACTACATCAGTGCTCCCCAACCTACAACTCCCAGAAGCCTTCACCACCACCTCTGCTGGCCAGGATTTCTGGGAGATGAAGTCCAAGAACCTCTGGAGGCACAAGGTTGGGGACCACTGACCTATAGGACTAATGATCATGAATGGGGAAAAGAGGACAGAAATCCCTCTAAACCCACAATGAATTTTAAATATACTTGCATAAGAGAAAACAGTTCTGAAGACGAAAGTGTCATTAATTTTTTCGCTAATAGGCAACAGAGGCCAAGATCTAGCAGAACTGTGCCAGTCACAGAACTGCTGTATTAGCAGAATCAGAAGGGGACGATCCCTCCTGAAGTCTCTGTGCACTCTCAAAATGTGCTCTGGAAGGCTGGAACCTTTCCCTCCCCCCCTCCCCAAAGCCGGGCAGGTTTTCAAGCCAAGGGGCAAAGACAGTGATGGGGAGGCCTTGTACCGGACATCTGCCTCAATGTCTGTCCATTTTGTCCAGTAGTCTGGTACAGAAAATAACCTATGGTTTTAAGCAATAAAGCTTTGTCTGTTCTGTTCATTTAAATAATCAATTAACCATTCATTCATTAATATTGTATCTGTTAACAACGGTACAATTTTTCTGTATTTTGCAATCAATTTCTGTTGTGCATTTGTCTTGTCACGCGATGGCCACAAGTGATACATTCATGCAACAGCACATATGACAACACCTTTCTGTTTTCCAAAAAGGCAAGCCATTGTACAGAGAAGACGGTCTGTGTTGTGAGCAAGACAAAGGGGCCATGTTTAATATCTCTTAGGATTTCAACACAAGCCAGAGAGGTGTAGTAGATAGAATGTCAGATTAAGACTCAGAAGACCTTAGCTCTGATCCCTCACTGGCCATGGAAAATGACCCATGGTGTCCATGGTAAATGACTTTCTGAACTTCTGACATACCTTGAAAACCTATTAGGAATGCTATTCGTCCGAAGCAACTGAACAACAAAAATAATAATAACAACAACAACAGAACTGTAGTACCCCCAAGAAAATTGCTTTAGCAAAACAGTTCTGGATTTATCTCCCTCAATATCTAGATATAAGGATAACTGCATGCCCTTTGTTAATAAATTCAAGTTAGATATAGAGAATTAGAATAAATTCGAGCTATTTTAATTAAACATAACATCAGTCAAAAAAAGAGATCTTTTTTGTGCCAAGAATTTACATTTTATATTTTTCTCTCGGGAAAGTTCTCATTGCTTGCTAATAAATCAACAGAAAAGAACATCTTTATGGGTGGAGAGGAAAAAAAAACAAGGGCTACATTCTACAAAGGAAATCAAAATGTAGGCCTGTCCTTTTCAAATATTTTTGTAATTATTATAACCACAGCATTTGTTGAACCCACTGGCTCAGCCCCCTTAACAGAAATGGCTCCATTGGCCTGATTAAGGAAAAGGATTGAACACCAATTATTCAGCCATATTAGTCTTGACGCAGCGAAAACGAGTTGTTGCTAATTCACGGCAAAAATCAATGAAAATAATTAAGAGTCTTGTTGTTTCCAAAGAAATAGTTACAGACACCGGGGTGGGGGGAGAATAAGTGTGTTTGTAAGCATGGACAGAAAAGATAATATTAGGCCATCCAGATGTCCATGTCCCATCATCTCACTGACTTAGACTGAGGGGAGCTGCAATCCAGCAATTAGAGCTGAGAGCACAAAAGTGACTGAGATAATTTTCTTGGCTTGTGAAATCAGACTTGAAAGGAACCCCAGGCTGAAGTCCTAAAGCCCAACCATCAAACAAAGGAAGCTACGCTGAATACTCTTGGAGGCAAAAGAAGCTCCTGCCCTGGCACACAGACATTTTCATTAGTTAAGGATTTTCCTCTTCAAGTCATAAGCTATCTCTTAACTCATTTAGGGTATAAGGCACAGGGATGGCCATGAATCAGAAAAATTGTGATTTGTTTTGATCCATTTGTCAAGGTCAACCAATCATGAATTATGAATCTACAAATTTTTTTCTGATGAATCAACAAATCAATTTGTCAATTGGATTTTGACTATAAAATTCTATGCCCCCCCGAAACACTTAGATCCACTAAATACACAGAGAAGCTTTCCCTGACTGTCCCCTCTATATTATTCAGGCATATTAGTCTTGACGCAGTGAAAACGAGTTGTTGCTGACACTGCTCAGCAATCCGTCCAAGTTTGGATTTTGACTATAAAATTCTATGCCCCCCCGAAACACTTAGATCCACTAAATACACAGAGAAGCTTTCCCTGACTGTCCCCTCTAAGCCCTGCACATTTGATGAAGTTTAGGTTTCAGACATCCGGGGCTATATATCCAAAATTGCAGGGCAGCTTCCCCTGACACTGCTCAGCAATCCGTCCAAGTTTGGCAAATATTGGGTTTTGGGGTGTCTGGGTTATACACTCACAAAAACGGCTGCCCTGGAAAGTTCCCCCCAAGCACCTAGAGACACCAAACTGACAGAGGATCTCCCCCTGCTCACCTCTACTATCCCTCCAAGTTTGGTGAAGATGGGGTTTCAAACATCCAAGTTCTACGCCCACAAAATGAGTCCCACCAGAAAAGTGCCCTTTAGAAGCTGGCTTGGGGAAATGCAGTCTTTACCAAACTGGGAGCTATCGCAGAGAAGAGTCAGGGGAAGCTTCTCTGTGATTTTGGCATCTCTAGCTGCCTGGGGGGAACTTTCCTGGGGAGCCATTTTTGTGAGAGTATAAACCAGACACCCAATACCCAATCTTCGCCAAACCTGGAACGGATTGTAGAGGAGAGTCAGGGGAAGCTGCCCTGCAATTTTGGAATCCTTAGGTGCTTTGAGGAGCATTTTATAGCCCAATTAATCAATGAACTAAAATTCTCTAATGAGCCATTGATTTGTAAGGGGTATTGTGTTGTACGAATACGAATCAATGAATTTGAGATTTTTTAAAAATGAATTCGGTGATTCGTTTTTTAAACATTTGTGTCCATCTCTAATAAGGCATCTTCATGTGTTTAACACACACCATGATCCCCCCCCCTTTCCTGCCTTCTGTGTTCTAAACACAGCTAAAGATGTGTGCCTATGGGTAGCTGGGGAAAACAATTGTTTATTTGCTGCAGAAGCATTTAAATTACAGAAATGTCACTCCTTGATTCCTTACCTGGCGGTAGCTGGATGTAAAAGCTCCCAAATAAGCTACAATGCCTGACGAAATGAGGATATCGCCTGTCAGGTTGACATACTGCTTCCCGAGCTCCAATGCCGTCTGGCTCCAGCGGGTTTTCTCGCCTCCAAGGCCACCGAGTAATTTCTCTGCTCGGTCCAACTTTTTGCTGCACAGATCAACCTGAAAGTCAAAATATAAACTTTAGGTAAAGCCATCGCAGCCGCTGCAACTTCCAATTGTTACCTTCTCTCCTTTTAATGCTTCTGAGAAGGACTACAACTGCATCGATTTTGGCGGACAGTATTATTCTTTTTCAACTAAACAAATGGCCTTTGGATTTGACATCGTTAAGCCTCCAAGGGGGAGGGGAAGGGAGGGAGAAACTGAGCATGACAGATGATCATGGCGGACTAACAGCATGGTCTATGGCATTTCCATTCTTCTTTTCCTTCAAATAAATTATTGCCCTGGGTTGGAAAAGTGGAATTGATAATGGATTTATATACAATACTGGGAAAAGCAGCATCTGAAGAAGCAGTGCATATCTCATCAGATCACAATGCCGATTTAGGAAGGTCACTTTCACAAGGATATGGGCAGCAAACAGAGGCCTCTATGCTGAGCTTTCTGTCCAGCATGTTTTTTTTGAAAAAAAAATCTACTAAAATTAATATCTATCTATCTATCTATCTATCTATCTATCTATCTATCTATCTATCTATCTATCTATCTATCTATCTATCTATCTATCTATCTATCTATCTATCTATCTATCTATCTATCTATCTATCTATTTACTATCCCGCCCATCTAGACCGAAGTCTACTCTGGGCAGCTAACAACACTCAAGAATAATAAAATAAAATAAAACAATGTTAATACAATTGAAGATAGCAAATAAATTAGGTATTGACAAGAGGGAAGGTCTGCCCAAAGAGCCAGGTCTTGAGTTGGCTCTTAAAAACACCCAGCGAGTAAGACAGACACATTTCTGGGGGGAGATTGTTCCAGATGTGAGGGGCCACTTCCAAGAAGACCTGCTTTCTTCTTCTTTCTCTTCGGGCCTCCCTCGGCGTTAGGCCTCTCAGCCACCTATCTTGACTAAAGTGATTTGGGTAGATCTAGGTGGGAGGAGGCTTTCGGCCAGATATTGAGGTCCTAAACCGTTTAGGGCTTTATATATCATTAGTACTTTGAAATCAATGCAGAAACAAATGGGCAGTCAATACAGGGCAGCCAGAGTAGGGGAAATATGTTGATGTTTTCTCAACCCAGTAAGAAGTCTAGCCGCCATGTTCTGCACTATTTGAAACTTCCACATCAATCTCAAAGGTAGACCCACGTAGAGCGCATCACAGTAGTCTAAGCTCAAGACTACAAGCGCATGGACCAGAGTAGTGAGCACCCCAACATCAAGATGGGCAATCCGCCAAAGATGGAAATAGGTGGTACGGACCACTGACGCTATCTGGGTTTCCATGGTAAGCACCGGGTCATGATGGACCCCCAGACTGTGAACTGAATTCTTTGTTGTAAGAGCCACCCCCCAAAAGAGAGGGAGTTCCCCAAACCACCGATGGAGGGGCCACCCACCCTCAGGACCTCCATCCTGTCCAGGTTCAGCCTCAGACCATTCACCTGCATCCATTTCAATACGGCCTCCAGACAGCACTGAAGAGACGAAACGGCATCCACTGCTGTTGGAGAAAAGGAGATGTAGAGCTGGGTGTCATCAGCGTACTAATGACACGAAGCCCCACACCGCCTGATGACCTGACCCAGCGGCCTCACGTAGATATTAAACAGCATTGGGGAGATAATCGAGCCCTTAAGATTCCACGGAGCTGATACACTCTCCCCAAGCTGTACTCTCTGGGGACAGTCCTCCAAGAAGGATCGGAGCCAGGCTAGCACCAGACCACTGATTCCCAGCTCAGAGAGCTTCCCCAGGAGGATGTCGTGCTTGAAGGTATCAAAGGTGGCTGAGATATAAAGGAGGACCAACAGAGACATTTTGCCCCTGTCGGCCTCCCTCAAAAGGTCATCAAACAGGGCAACCACTGCCGTTTCCGTACCGTAGCACGGCCTGAAGCCTGACTAAAATGGATCCAGGGCGTTTGTTGATCATGTGCCATCAAGTAAATACTGGCTTCCAATGGCCCTTTTCAGGGCTTTCCAGGTACTCAGAATTGTTTTACCATTCCCTTCTTCTGGGGGACAGTGCAGCTTGCCCAAGGCCACACAAGCTGGCTCTACTCACAGAAGGCACTGAGGGGAATTGAACTCCCAACCTCTGGCTCCACAGCCTGATACCTAAACCACTGAGCTATCTGGCCAGCCTTCTATAGTTAGAGACAGGGGAAAAAATCTCAAAGCCTTGCAGCCCGCACACAAACCAACAGCTGAGTGTGAACTGACCCACAAACATTTTATCTACATACCAAGGAAGGTGAGAGGAATAGCAACACAGGAAGGAGCCAAGGCACATTTTCAAACATTTCACCCTTCACCTTTTCCTTTGTTCCTTCCCCAGCCTTTCCCAATTCAGCAGGAAAAAAATTGAGAGGCTGAGGCAGAAGCCAAGCGTCTCATTCCTTTTGAATCTGGGTAAAGTCACAACCAGAGGAGGGCAATTAATGTTAAAAACTACCAATCTCAAAAGTATCTACAGCTTGTCAGGCCATTCGGGTTGGAGTATTTTGTAAGTCTTAATGCAAAATAAAGAAATAAATAAAGCAATTGAGCCCTCTGGCTATAGCACATGGGAGATCCCAGCACAACAGGAGATGGTAGGGAAAAAACCAGTCTCACATCTATGTTTTCATATCCATAGTTTACCATACAGAACTGAGGTTTGCATCAGCTAATAAAAAGATCCATGTGTCCCATGGCATGAAAGTAAGTATACTTCAAGCAGTTCGTTTCTAGAATACTATCCAAGCCAACAGTTCCTAACCTTGGGTAACCTGGGTGTTTTTGGACTGAAACTCCCAGAAATCCTGGCCAGCGCAGCTAGTGGTGAACGCTTCTGGGAGTTTTAGTCCAAGAACATCTCCGGAGGACTCAAGGTTGGGAATGACTGATCCAAGCAAACCTGGAATGAACAAGCTAGCTATGGATGGATGGATCAGCTTATTCCTGATCAGCTTTACATACATTCATGCATAACTAAGTTTCATGCAGGAAATAGCACACATTATTTTGAAATGATTTTTTTTCTCTCTCTCAACAAAACACTCCTCTCTGTACCCATTTTGATCCATTATTTTCCTGCAACACCATGAGAATCTTTTCAGAAGACAAACCAAATGATGACACAAAAGCACAGAGGCCAGCTCTTTGGAAATGTTACATACCTGGTTCTCTAGGTCTGCTTTTTCCTGCTTCTTTTGTTCTAGCGTCTGTTGCAATTTAGCTAGCTTGTCCTGAACTTCCTTTAAGGCTGCTTGTTTCTTTCTCAGACCATCCATAGCAACTTTCAGTTCTGCTTCAGCTGCATTTAACTTTATCTTCTTAGGGGCAACAACTTTTGCCACTCTGAAGAAAATACAATATTTGCATTTGCTTACTTATTTTGCATTATACTGTATTACTACTTCACTCTTTATCCAAGGATCTCATGAGGAGATACGAAGAATAAAATACTAGCAAACATCTTAAGACAATATAAGGTAATGGTAAAGGTAAAGGTTCCCCTTGACAATTTTTGTCCAGTTGTGTTCGACTCTAGAGGGCGGTGCTCATCTCCGTTTCCAAGCCATAGAGCCAGTGTTTTGTCCAAAGACAGTCTTCCGTGGTCACATGGCCAGTGCGACTTAGACACGGAACGCTGTTACCTTCCCACTGAGGTGGTCCCTATTTATCTACTTGAATTTGCATGCTTTTGAACCGCTAGGTTGGCAGGAGCTGGGACAAGCGATGGGCGCTCACTCCGTCACGTGGATTTGATCTTACGACTGCTTGGTCTTCTGACCCTGCAGCACAGGCTTCTGCGGTTTAGCACGCAGCGCCACCACGTCCCCTTCTGCTTCAGCTGCATTTAACTTTATCTTCTTAGGGGCAACAACTTTTGCCACTCTGAAGAAAATACAATATTTGCATTTACTTACTTATTTTGCATTATACTGTATTACTATCTCACCCTTAATCCAAGGATCTCATGAGGAGATACGAAGAACCAACTAGCAAACATCTTCAGACAATATAAGACTGTAGATCAATTAAAACATTTTTTTTAAAAAAAGTATAAAACTGTGTGTGCACTATATCTGCTAAAACAGAGGTAGACAATCTAGTCAGGTTAAGGTCAGTAGGGCCCCAAAGCTTTGATGAACAACGCAGCTTGGTCAAGTATCACAACCAATCTCCTGTTTCTGCACACAGATTGCATGTGCGCACGCACACACATACACACACCATAACAACTCAGCACACAACTGAGTTGCTCTTCAAGACATCAGGGAGATCCCAAAATATTTTCCTGTGCGAGGCAAAGCTAAACTAGCATGGTTCCTTCTTTCTATGTACAAACACTGGCTAGACTGGCAGGTGAGCCTTTATTCACCAGTGGCAACGGGCTCTCATTCTCTGCCACATCTCTGAGGACAAGCAGGCGAGTATAAGGAGGGCTGGGTAAACTGTGGTCAGTATGCAGCTTTATCTCTCAAGAGAAGCAAAGGTCCAGGGCGGACTTCTAGCACCTCCAGCCTGAGAAAGTTCTGTAGTCTGCCTAATGGCAAGGCCAGACTGGGAAAATATCAACAAGTGACTCCTGTCTATCATCCATGACCTGACCACCCTCTTTTAAATCATGGGTAAGTAGAGAGTAATATCCAAATTTTTGAATATTTGTAATTTTAGGATGGGATATCTTGTCAAATAACAGGCCTTTCTTGATCTTATGTGGCATTAGTGGTTATTGGTTAATAGTATCAAAAGTTCACTGCTGGGGCTTCTGGCCATGTAAAACAACCTCATCGCTTTTAAAAAATTTTAACCTACCTTGATAGACTTAAAGAATGCAAATGGCCAACCATTGTGTCTTAGCCTGGGCTGGGGGATCTCTGGCCCTTCAGAAGTCAAGGAACGAGTACCCTTGTTGCCCTTCTCCCGTGTTCATGATAGCATAGGCTGACGGGAATTGGAGTCCATCAATATCTGGATGCCCCTGGGTTCCAGCCAAGCCTGCAGGTCACACACCCCTACCACAAGAGTTTTTGTGGACAGACTACGGGGTTATGTTGACTTATATATTTGGCTACAAGAAACCCAGAGGGAAAGGGGCAATCCTGTGTGTATGCAGCAAAAAGAAATCCAGGTTTTAGAAACCCACACAGGTGACAGCAAACCTAGAAAATCTCCTCTCTTTAAGCCGCTGATTTGGGGGAAACTGATCCTGCCTTAAGACAAATGTTCTTTCTCAGACACTTATCTCTTTCCCCTCCCCTGCTCACTAGATGTGTGCAAATAAACGGATACGAGGCCGAAAAGAAAAATGCCCCAGTGTTCTCTCTGCATAAGGGCATTGGCCGGGCAATAGACTAATTTCTACTGCAAGAGGAAGTGAGAGCACGCCAGCCAAGCATTCTTTATTGACACTAAACTTTCCAACAGGAACTTACCTATCATAAGAATCCATGGCAATGACCCATTTGCACAATCCTTCTGCAGCCGTAGAAGCATTCCGGATCTTCTCAGGAACAAACTCAGGATTAGTGATGTACTGCTTTCTGATGATGCTCATGTAAGCTGGGGGGATGTTGTCCTTGTCATACTCATGAAGGGACTGCAGAAACCTCATGTCCCCTAGGAGTTTCTTAGCCGGACCCCAGAAATCTTCGATCTTTTTTCCTGTGCCTGTTGGATCTGGAATTTTATCTGCCTTGATGCCTTTCAAGATACAAATGGTCTCCATAACAAGCTTCACTCCAGCAGGAGGACTTTTCATAGACTTCACAACAGTGATATCCTTAAAAGAAACAGTGTTGGAAGAGAATTTATTTCAGCATGTGTAATTAAAACTAAAACCCCTACGCTAAAAACTAAAGTACTGTGGCAGTACTGTGCCATGGATTACAATCCATTTGCAATCCACATAGCGTAAATATAAAGAGGTAGATGGTAACACAGTTTGAACAATATACATAGAGTAAATACAGTATAAAGAGGTAGATGGTAACACAGTTTGACTAACCATTGCATCCTTTTCCTACCTTCTCTTTCAACCTCCTTTGCAAGGAGCTGCTACTTTCAAGCCACATGGCAATTCTACTGCCTTACAGTACTTACTGAAATTCCTGGCTACCTACTATCTTGTCACTGAATATACGTACAGTATGTAACAAGTGATCAGCCTTGCTCTCACTTTCTCATTGGTTTTGAACTAATTTTTAGTTGATTTGGAGAAAACTGGAAAGCTTCATGGTAAAGCCACAAAGTCAGTGAAAGTTTGCATTTATGGGGCATATGTACACCAGTGGTGACTGCCGTTATCCCATGACTTGCCAGTAAATCTGAAGGTTGGGTATAGTGAATAAGTGAATCGGCACCCTAATTTCCAACACTTAACATTAGCACTGGGATTTACAATGGCTCCAGCTTCACGTATCTGTCCTTTCTTTCATTTTCTCATCCTTCTCAGGTTCCACAGCCCCTAGTTAACAGTCTCCAAATCTTTTTCCTCCTTTTACATTAATAAAAAGATAAGCCCCAATCCTGCAGTATTTGAGCTTATTTCGCTGGGTTACCCCGACTATTTTAAAAACTGAAACAGAAGATAGTCAAATCTGGTAGCATTTTATACTCGTGGATGGGAGACAGCTTTCCAGTTACACAAAACTAACATGTTGTAATAATGCAGAAACTAACAGCAAATACAACCTATTAGGCACTGTACAGAGAGAGAAAAAAGGCTCCCCATAAAATTGAAGCAGCAATTCTGCATGCGACTACACAGTGATTTACCCCTCGGTTTGTGTTAAAGTTGGCAAGATTAACTTTGATGTATTTCCCATTGATTACACAATGTACAGCTAATTGCCAGTAACTCCAATTTTTTTCATGGGAAACTGTTGATTTTCTTCAGCCAGCAGAAGCTAGTGGGTTTTTTTGTAGTGATTCTGATGGTGATCTGGGCATGTCCAAGAGTGACATTGATATAGGGGCCTCTTTTAAAAAATCTGGCAAGTGATATAGTGCTGAATTGATATAACAACTTATGAGACTGCAGTGCCCATCTGGCATAGCACTAAATTGGAAAAGCATAATAAAAAATGTTCAAAGAAAAGGCAAAGGGTGCTTCCTTGAGAGGGGTGTTCTAACAGTACAGACATATCATGCCATGCTGCGGGATATGCTAGTACAGTGGTGCCCTGCTTGTTCTGGCATAGCGCTAAATTGGAAAATAATAAAAAATGTTCAAAGAAAAGGCAAAGGGTGCTTCCTTGAGAGGGGTGTTCTAACAGTACAGACATATCATGCCATGCTGCAGGATATGCTAGTACAGTGGTGCCCTACTTGACGATTCCCTCGTTATATGACGAAATCGCTTGATGACGATGTTTTTGTCCCACGTTATATGATGAAATTGCTTGACGATGATGTTTTTGCGATGATTCTATGGGTGATTTTCATTTAACAACAATCAGTTCCCTGCTTCAGGAACTGTTTTTTCACTTAACGACGATCAAAAACAGCTGATCGTCAGATTTTGAAAATGGCTCCCCGCTGTGCAAAATGGCTCCCCACTGTGTTCAGGACGGATTCTTCGCTACACAGGCACGGGAAAATGGCCACCCTCTGGAGGATCTTCGCTGGACGGTGAGGTATTTCCCCTATTGGAACGCATTGACCGGTTTTAAATGCATTTCAATGGGTTTTTTTATTTCGCTTAATGACGAATCGCTCTACAGTGATTTTGCTGTAATGGATTATCGTCGTCAAGCGGGGCACCACTGTACAGTGGGAATATCCCACTGAACATCCCCCTCTAGTTAACAATGTTTCTTTCTTCTCTGGACCATTTTAATGCTTTTTCAATTAAGTGCAACGTAAGAGAAGCACTGCAGTTTCACAAGTTGTTGTATCAATTCAGTGCAAGGTCACCTGCCAATTATTTTTTTAAAAATGACAACAACAGAGGTGAAGAAGAGGGTGGTGTTAATGACAGAGGAGGGCAGATGACCTATGATCCCACTGAGAACAGTAGCGATTTGAGGAACAATGTAGACCTCAGATCTGAAAAGCAAATGGACAATTAAACAGAATCGACTGATCTACTTGCACCTTAACTCTACAGTATCTGCCTTTTAAAATCAGGCGCTTCCTGTTTTCCAATCAGCCGATCTACTTGCACCTTAACTCTACAGTAATGAAAATCAGGTGCTTCCTGTTTTCCACAAACAGGAAATCAGGCGCTTCCTGTTTTCCAATCAGCCCACTTGAACAAGAAGCATGGAATATATTCGATCATCCGTACCTGTGCCGTCAGGGTGTCAAGAGCAGCCAGCGCACTTTCCAGGATTGGCAAGGCTTCCGCCAGATCAGCATCGCATTCATCTTTGATGGCTTTAGCAGCCATTGCTTGCTCATTGGCCACAGCTTCGTCCGCTTTCACTATTTTCTCTGTTTTCGCCACTTCTAAGGACTCTTTCTCAATCACGAGCATCATCTCGTCCACTTGCTTGCTGGCCACCCTCAGCTGGGGCTGCAAGGCTTCCAGCTCCACCTGCATTGTGGCCACCTGTGCTGCAGCCGAATCCAGCTTCTCCAAGCCAACTTCGTATCTTTTTTTCATTTTCATCACCTGACTGGGGATAGTTTAGGAGACTGAGACACTGGAAACACATCAACCCGACAATCTTTAAATTAATCCCTGCGGAGTTCCTCAACAAACATGTGTAGTCCGCATTGGAGGAATGTCTCCTGTTTCCTATTCAAATATTCTTACAATCTTTCTGAGTTCTTAAGTAGAGCTCAGTTTCATAGACCTGTCCTGCACATTTCCATTTAAATGCCAGTGACTTTACATCGTTCACATTCCATCTCAAGCTATCTAAAAACTTTCTTGGGATCAGTTGGCTATTGAACCTTGGCCCAGGGGCTGAATTTAGCCCTCTTGGGATCACAACACAGGCTTCTCCAGATAGCCATATCCCTTCCCTATGATACTACTTCGTGATTTCCTACTTTTGCACAAGTTCCTTCCTGTTACAAAGCATTGAACTACTTCTCAGAAGGCCTAATTACCAGCAGAAAGGAGTGATCCGCTAAAAAGAAGTTGGTACTTCTCTCCCCCATCCTTTTGCTTGACATTGGCTGTTCATGTTGACAGGCTGACTTGATATGTCTTTCCTATGAGGTGGCAAACAGTGCAGATTATTTTATTGCTTTTTAATGCGTTCACTGCTTTTTATTTTTAATTAATAAAATTCCAAGAGGGACCATGTGAGTACTCTGGGAATTCCCTTGTTATTTCCACTCACTGAAGGGGGATAAAGCAGTGATTTCACTACCACCTTTACCCCATCATCATTTCACACCTTTCCAATGGTTGAATAAAAAGGATAGGGGTAAGTTTATAAATCTCTATTATTTCTAATTATCAAAAGAAAGTTCCTCCTGCCCCTCACCCCTTCTCAGTCCATAAGGGCTACCATGAGGGTGATGGTCCACTCTTAGACCAGCTAGATTAAGCCTTATGGTTTAAAAATACTGCCTCAGAGTACTCCATAACATTGTTTAAATTCTGTTTTGTAAATTTCTTTGAACACTATAAAAGCAAACTATGAAGGGTACCAGCTAAGGAAGTAAATGAACAATCATCACAGTAACAAAACATTCAGTGAAATTCAGACAGAAAATAGTAGCGTTGATATAAAGAAAAATCCAGAAGCTGCAATCAAAATGGTAGCCATGAAGCAATAGGAGAAATCTGGAAAGGTGTGCAGGCCGTATGTCCATGCTTGACATTTGGGACCTATCAGGATATTGAAAGAAAGAGGGAAAACAGACATAACGAAATAAAAGCTCTCAGCAATTATAAAGATTCTTCAGTTGGCTGTTAACAATCCCTGTTTGCCATCACAGGCAATTAAGGAAGCCATTTTAGCACTGTCCTGCACTTTGTAAGTATATACAGTATCTAGGTTGGAAATAACAGGAATAAAGACAACCCTCTTCAGTTTTGGAATTTGCATGCATCCCCTCTTAGATTTTGGGGCATTTGTGCATATGTGTTTGTACATATGTTTGTACATGTAGGGCTGAAACAAAGGAAACAAATATATTCTGCACTAGCCAAGGATGCTTTAATCATACTCACGTTCTGTTCTTTTCCAGAAGGGATTTGAATGTGGAAATCAGCTCTAGGTATGAAGTAGGTGTTACATAGTTGTGCCTTTGGAGCTCATTATAGAACTGTTCAGACAAGCTAATGGTGGTCATATGAAATTTTTGACACAGATCAATGCACCCATGCCGTGTTTCCTCGGACATTTCAATATCTTCCAAGGAGCGAGTGGCCACAGCTTGTAATGCGTCTGAAGGCCATGACTAAGTTCATAGAAAGAAAGAAAACATTTTACTATTGCTGTGGATGAAAAGAAATGCAGCACGACCCCCATCCATGGGATCATTATCCACTGATTCATTTATCTGCTGGCTGAAAATACTAAATAAAAAAAAAACCAGAAATACCTATTTATATATATTTCTAGGGTGTATTTATTAGAAATGGATGCTAGAGGGAGCCAGAGATCATGCACTCTATTGTGTTTGATACTTCTGCATTTCTCAACATCCATGGATGAAACTGATCTTCTATGGATACCACACTCCTACTGTGTTACAAAAAGAGTACAGTGGGGTCTTGACTTGAGAACTTAATCCATATTGGAAGGCGGTTCTCAAGTAAAAAAGTCTGTAAGTCAAGTCTCCATTGACCTACAGTGCATTGAAAACCGATTAATCCCATAACAGGCCGTTTTTGTTCCATTTTGGTTTTTTTCTGGTCTGTAAGTCAAATCTCAGTCTGCAAGTCAAACCTAAATTTTGTGGCCAGAGAAGTCTGTAACTCAAAAAGTCTGTAAGTCAAGCCGTCTGTAAGTCAAGGGTCCACTGTAATATTTACTTATGCTAGCCATCAAAAAAGCGCAAGGCACCATACCATAAATTCTCAGGCAAGGCTTTACACTTCAAGTAGCTCTAGCTTCACGTGTACTAGGTGGATTCTATGGAATATACAGATGCAGTCTGCTCTCCAATACAGAGTGTGTATATTTACCCCTAGAGAAATCAGCATTAGCTGGATTTAGTATGGATGCGCTCTGTCTTCAGGACTCTCCATGTCTTTGCATCCGATTTAGATTGAGGCATACTTGTCAATGCAGCCCCAAATCCAAACCAGACCTTTCTCAAAGCTACTAGACAGAGGCAAGAATATGTAGAGGCTCAAGGGTTTCTGTCTGTAACTTGGACCTAATCCAAATATTTGGAATAGTCTCACGGCAAAGTCCTCTCCCTAAGACTGTATCGTTTCGGCAGGCAGGCAGGGCGTATATGTAAGCACATTCTTCCATTTTAACACCTAGTAGCTATAGAAAACAAGAACATCCAGCAGAACAAAAGGCTTGAACTTTTTCAACCAAGACTTCTACATTAAAGAAATTGTGCTTCTCAAAGGCCTTGACTACTTCTTCAGATGATCACGCCTTGACATCTTACGTTGAAATATGAATGAACTTCATGCATTCACAAGTTTCCACTTCACTTCTCATTTCACACAGATGGCAACACAAAACCGTGAGGAGCAACAGTTAACAATAGTTTCTTGTTATATCGAAACTACAAAATTGTGATTAACGACTCCAAACAAGACAAGACAAGCTTTAAACAAAAACTCAGTTTTCTAGGTTGCTTAGAAGCCATTAACCATGGATTCCCATTTCATAGATAAGCCAAGATTTGATTGTCTGAATGTTTCCGTTATATATCCGTGGGACCAGTGTCCACATGTTCACTTATCTACTGCCTAAAAATATTAAATTACAAAAACTGAAATACATATTTTTATATATTTCCTTGATTTAGTTGCCAGAACTGGCCACTAGAGAGAGCCAGAAACCATGCTATGTATAGGGTTTGCTATAATCCATGGTTTCAGCATCCATGGGGGGGGGGGACACATGGTACTACTGAACACAAACTAACAGATATTACAGAGAACTCTACCTGAAACCAGTCAATAGAATCCTATAATCCTATAATCCATGGTTTCAGCATCCATGGGAGGGGGACTAGGAATCAATCCCTCCATGGATCCCATGGTACTACTGAATACAAACTTAAAAGATATTTTCAGAGAACTCTACCTGAAACCAGTCAATAGTACAGCAATTAACAAGAGCAGGAAACCTCCGAAGACGATTACGAAAAGCATCTCCAATGGGACTCATGGCCAACACTATATGGAGCTGATCTCGGCAGCGATCAATGAACATGTTGAAAAGAGCAATGGGACTACCATCTGTTTGCTTGGTTCTATCCCGCTGGCGATCAATTTGCCGCATCTTTTCACAAATCTCTTGCTTTTCATCGACCGCAAAAAGGTTTGGTACTTCTCCAGCGTTTAACAAGTTGTTGATATCTTCTAAAAACGACTCCCTTTTTATCTGAGTATCAGTGAATAAGAAAACTCCTTGCATTTCACCTTCAGTAGATCTCCTCAGGATGACTTTTAGATCTTCGTGCCACTCATTAGTCCCATAACTCTTTGAAATTTCAACTTGAAAGGGTGTATAATCTGCCATGTGTGCAGCTAAACGGGTGAGGGACTGTCGGCCGCTGCCTCCAACCCCCACCAGGAGGGCGTGGCTACGAGGCTGCTTCAGAATCCGCGAAATTCTACAAACATGTTCTATGGCAAATCGGAACAACACCAACTGCATGGGTTTCTTGCTCATATTGTTGTATTCCTCCAGATGGCTCTCTACAACAACTCTCAAATGGTCGACATCCATGACTTCCCTGTAGTTTGTGTCCTCCCTTTTCGGATCATGAAAATCACAGAACATCAGACTTCGCAAATCGTCCTCCTCCACCTTGCCATCATAATTGAAGTCCAGCCTCTGGAACAGTTCATCAAACTCTTCTTCGAAGTGGTTTTTCACCACTTGTTGTATGCATCCAATAAGCCAAGATCGATCTGCCTGATCCACCAAGCGGTCATAATATACCCTAAGCACCTGTAAGGTAAGTAAGAATGTGACTATTAAAGCTCTTCTGATAACATTCTAGTTGCAAATGTAAAAAGAACGAAATAAACTAACTCAGATGAAGTTCAGTTTGCAAAATAGTATAAACAGCGATAGATATTAATCTAAACTATACTTCCCAGGGAGAAATACATTTTTAGTACTATATTCATTGACAGGGAATTACAGGGCAATTATACACACAATCATAGAGAACTCTCCACTTTAGATACATGACTAATATTCTAGGCAGTCCCAATTTAAGTTCACTATGCTTCCCAGGGAGAAATACATTTTTATTAACACTTTATTCATTGACTAGGAATTAGAGGGCAATTATACACACAATCATAGAGAACTCTCCACTTTAGATACATGACTAATATTCTAGGCAGTCCCAATTTAAGTTCAAGAATCTCTCCACTTGTAAAAAAACCCTTTCATTTTTAACTTCATGTGGTTGCCAATCGTTCAGCATGAATCAAACACCAGGAATTGTGTGCAAAAGGTTGCATTTCAAGAGGCCTGTACTTTCACTACTTGAAAAGAAGAAAAATGAACCATCTGAACTGTTTGTTAATAAGAATGAGAAACACTTATTGTTTTGTTGTTGTTTCCTCTGAGTTCTTTCGATAAGCTTTTATTTAAAGGTTGCATTTCCAGCTTGAGAGATCACAAAACCCTGATATAAGCACACACAATCTTTTAATCTACAGAATCAAAAACTAACATTTTACCTGTTCAGATTTATTATTAGCCCTGTTCTAAACCACTGAGGCAAACAAGTATTAAGACAATTTTGCCGCTATAAAACATAGTGTCCAGCCTCTCTGATGGCTTGATCCAGATGCTAGAATGCTAATCACAAGCCTAGCAGTGCCTCTGAAAATTGCTCACAATAGGATTTTGGCAAATTTCCAGGGAGCCAGGAGGAATTACACAAAGTGTCTCTCTGCACCACATCACTGTTTGGATCAGATACAGCAAATGGAGCTGTTAATGGCCGTAATGGATACATCCATTTGTCCTACATCAAAAACATAACGATCAATGAAAGATTACTGGTGACACCACAATACAATACAAAGGTGTTGTGCATTTCTGCTGGGGGAAA